ACTTTTGCTTTTTTATTTTATGAAAAACATTACTAAATAATATCTGATTTTTCCAATTTGATAACATTTATGATTTTTCAGGAAATAGATGCTATATGTTATTAAGCAAGGCTTTATTTTTGCTTGTAGATAGCTTTACTAGAGGGACAATTATGCACTTCTATTTGAATAGCTATGTTAATATTTTATTTAATTATCAGTCTAGTACCACACTTAATGTTGGAAAGAACTTGACTATCTACATATTTGAAAAACCCCCCTAAAACTTCTTGTCATATATATGAAAATGTGTATACAGTTACTATATGCAACAAAAAATACTAAAGATTTGCTATGAAATGATTCTCCCTGTTGCATTTCTATTTGCTATAATGAACCATCTGGAATTTATGTTCCACTCTCCTATCAATGTCATCAAACATATGGCTTGATTCTGAACATGCTGGTATAACAAGACTTTTGTCATTTTTTTTTTTAAGATTTATTTTATTTTTATTGGAAAGGCAGATATACAGAGAGGAGAGACAGAGAGGAAGATCTTCCGTCCGATGATTCACTACCCAAGTGAGCACAACGGCCGATGCTATGCCGATCCGAGGCCAGGATCCAGAAACTTCTTCTGGGTCTCCCACACGGGTGCAGGTTCCCAAAGCTTTGGGCCGTCCTCGACTGCTTTCCCGGGCCACAGGCAGGGAGCTGGATGGGAAGCGGTACTGCTGGGATTAGAACCTGCACCCATATGGGATCCTGGGCGTGCAAGGCGAGGACCTTAACCACTGCGCCATCGTGCCGGGCCCGATTTTTAACATTCTTATACACAAAATTGTTTCCTCTGTCATTTTGCCCTTCTTTTATTTTTATCATAGAACTTCATAAGGTATATTTCTTTCATTTCTTTAGATTTGTTTTATTTTTATTGGAAAAGCAAATTCACAGAGAGGAGAGACAAAAATTTTCCTTCCACTAGTTCACTTGCCAAAGGACTGCAATGGCCAGAGCTGATCCAATCCTTCAGGTCTCCCAGGTGGATGTAGGATCCCAAGGCATTTGGCCATCCTCTACTGCTTTCCAGGCAATAAGCAGGGAGCTGCATGGGGATTGGAACCAAAGGGCATGAACCTGTGTCCATATGGAATTCCGGAACTTGCAAGGGGAGGATTAGTTAATTGAGCCATCAAACAGGGTCCCTATAAAGTATCTGAATTTCAAAGGCATTACCACCTTTATACAGAGGACTCTCTAGTTCTGGTTCTTGAATTCCAATATTTAACTGAGGCTTGATTTATCAGTCATGGTTACCTCGATAGTTCTGCTTCTAAATTATCATCCTTGCCTAACTTCCATTTTTTCCCTCTTTTTTTTCCCCTAATTACCTGATGTTGTATTTTACTTAGTTAAGAATAATCTCATTTTTTCCTTCTATTTTTAAAATGAAAATCTCTTAACTTTTACTATTCCTGCCCTGAGGGTTGTGTTTCTTATTCAGCCTTAAATTATGCCTGAACTGCTGTACAATTTATCTTCCTAACTGAGGGTCAGATTACGCTTCCAGGCTTTATCCTAATTTATATATTAATATGTATTATAATAACATACATTTATATATGCACTATGCTGTTGCCGTCTTCAATCAGGAGATTCTACCCTGTGTTGTTTTCTCATTTTTCATGCTGTGGACCTATTCTATACCCTAGGTTTTATTTTTCACAGCTAACTGAATTAATTAAATATTTTTCTGATGGGGCATAGTTTTGTAGCATCCACTCCCAACTTTTTCAAAAGAAATGTGTCTGATATTTAAATTTTTTAAAAATATATTTTTAAATTGAAAGGAGGGCCCGGTGGTGTGGCCTAGTGGCTAAAATCCTCGCCTTGAACACGCCCAGGATCCAAAATGAGCACCGGTTCTAATCCCGGCAGCTTCATTTCCCATCCAACTCCCTGCTTGTGGCCTGGGAAAGCAGTCGAGGATGGCCCAAATCTTTGGGACCCTGCAGCTGTGTGGGAGACCCGGCAGAAGCTCCTGGCTTCTGGCTTCGGATCGGCATAGCATCGGCCATTGTGCTCACTTGGGTAGTGAATCATTGGATGGAAGATCTTCCTCTCTGTCTCTCCTCTTCTCTGTATATCTGAGTTTCCAATAAGTAATAAATAAATATTTTTTAAAAAATTGAAAGGCAGAGTTACACAGAGAAGGAGAAAGAGAGGGAATTTTCCATCTGCTGATTCACTCCCCAAATAGCCACAATGGCAGGGGATGGGCCAGGCAGCAGCCAGGAGTCTGGAACTTAATTTGGCTCTCCCACAGCCACAGCAGGGTCCCAGGTACTTGGGCCATCTTTTTCTGTTGGATGGAACTGAAGTGGTGTTGTCGGCAGCAGCTTAACCCACCTGGCCACAACGCCAGGGCCCCATTTCCATCTTTTCATTTCAGCTAGTGCTCATCCTTTCCTCTGGAACAATATCATTCCCTTCACCTCATGGTGTCCCAAGAAGCAATTCACATCCTAACACCTTTTTATCTATCCACTTAGTTCAACCATATAAATGATCTTCTCACGCAATTTTAAGAGGAAGCCAGAAGTAATAATTGAAATCAGGCTTTACTTCCTCTAATTTTTTATATGTTAAGTTTACTTGCCAGAATTGCAACTCCAGATAGGACTTCTATTCCTTTCTAACACTCTGATTGGTGTTTAAGTATATTCACTACGTTGGGCCATCATCTTCACAATTCCAGAATACTTTTATTGCTCCCAAAGAAATTCTGTACACTTATACAGTCTTTCTCTGTCACCCAACTTCATTTCTAGGAGACTACTAATATGTTCCTTCACCATTGATTTACTTGACTAGAACATTTCTAAGAGTACAATTCAAACAGGGTTAGGCATAGCCCAAACTCATGTAGACATTTAAATGCCCAACTCTTACATTAATGCTTACTGGGTTAGTGTTACTGGACTAAGGTCAGAGATGATAATATCATGAATTTTGGAGATAGATCTCATGAGAGGTTTTCAAGTCATTAAGGCAGTTTTTTTTTTTTTTAAGATGTATTTATTTTTATTGGAAAGGCAACTTACAGAGACAAAGGAGAGGAGACAGAGAGAAGACTCTTCCACTTGCTGGTTTACTCCCCAAGTGGCCGCATCAGCCAGAGTTGAGCCAATTTGAACCTAGGAGTTTCTTCTGGGTCTCCCATGCGGGTAAGGGGTCCCAAGGCTTTGGGTTGTCCTCGACTGCTTTCCCAGGCCACAAGCAGGGAGCTGGATGGGAAGCAGAGCAGCTGTGAAAGGAACTGGTGCTCATATAGGATCCCACTGCATGCAAGGTGATGACTTTAGCCACTAGGCTACTGTGCTGGCCCCAGAACTTTCAAATGATTTTCATAGAGGCTGCTTTATACAGCATTCCCTTTGATAATATGAAAGCATTCTATATATTTTTTTCTTACAGCCTGGTCAAAACTTTTTTTGTTTTTACTTACAGTCATAATAACAAAAAGATTGGGAGGTGTCTGTTTTCTGGGAAGAGGTTTCAGCCTATTACACTTGGCGTTTAAAGAATATGGGCTTTGTACATTCATAGAATCAAATGCTTACAGATTTTAGTAACCTAAGTTTTAATGATCCAAATAACTTGAAAATGGCTCCAGATAGTAGTACCAATGATTAGCATTAAGTACAAACATATATCCTAACTATAGAAATGGTTTTGGGCCGAGTGTGATGGCCTAGTTCCTAAATTCTCACCTTGTAAATTGCCGGGATCTCATACAGTCGCAGGTTTGTGTCCTGGCAGCCCCACTTCCCATCCAGCTCCCTGCTTGTGGCCTGGGAAAGCAATCGAGGACAGCCCAAAGCCTTGGGACCCTGCAGCTGCGTGGGAGACCTGGAAGAAGCTCTGGCTTCAGACTGGTTCAGCCCCGGCTGCTGTGGTCATTCGCGGAAGTGAACTAGCAGTTGGAAGAACTTTCTGTCTCCTCTCTGTAAATTTGCCTTTCCAATAAAAATAAGTAATTTTTAAAAAAGAAGCTTTAGTCTTTATCTTGTTACGATAATACCAGATATTTAAATCTTAATTTTAAGGAAGTAGTAATAAAGGATAATAGTAGGGCATAAACCGTTAGTAGAATCTATATGCACAATGTAGGATCATGGAAGACGTATTCTCCATTGTATGTACAAAACAATCTACAATATTTTTTGTGTGCCCTCCCCAGCTTTTTACTATACTCACCATCAACATATTTGAAAGGAACAAAAAGTCTTTCACCTATACTTCCTACCTATACCCGTCTCCAATGTAAAGGTTCAATCCTACGTTAAGTGCCACATTCGAATGCAGAAAACGTGTTCTTTCTACGTCCCATACTCCGGGCACTGAAAGAAATTTTAGGCTCGTTTTCAGCCAAATGAACAGGTACCGAGACAATTTAGATTCTAGCCATGTCAAGACACGAACTGGAAGTAACTTGGGGGATATCCTTAAAGGCTCTTACCCACCACGCATAACGATTTAAAGCAGTGTTCCCACATGCTTTATGGAACCTAGTGCAGGAATACAAAGTTCTGACTTCAGTCAAGCAAAACAAGGTCCTCGAGAACCCAAAACGTACGTCACGACCCCAACTCACAGAAGCCCGCAGCTTGCTGCCCGGGGCAGGGCGTGTGCGTCAACGTGCGCACGTCTCGCGCGCTGACGTTCGCCTGGCGTACACCGCCTCCGGAGTGTGCGCTTGCGCAGTGTGCGTCTCGCGCGGCGGCGCTCGCTGGAACTTCCGGCCCACGCCGGCGGCGGAGGAAGGGTTAATCGTGCTGAGCAGGGACTGCAGCTGACCGCAGTCTGCGAACGGCGTTTTGGATCCGTTTACCGAAGCCTCGCTCAAGTGTGTGCTCCCTGACGGACGCTGCCATGCCGAACTCTCGGCCCAAGTGCAGGCGCGGCGCGGGCCGGGACGAGCTGGTGTCGCGGTCATTGCAGAGCGCCGAGCACTGTCTGGGCGCCCAGGACTTCGGCACCGCCTACGCCCATTACCTGCTGGTGCTCAGCCTGGCGCCCGAGCTCAAAGACGACGTCAAGGTGAGGCCCGGAAGCAGCAATAATAATAATAACAATACGAGAGTGTCCCCGCGTGCAGGAGGGGCAGGTCCGCGGGGCTGGAGGTTGCTCTTAAGCTTTAGTGTTCGCTCTTTTTTATACCTTGTGTTCACACCCAGAAAAAGCCCCCAGAAAGTACTGTTGGTTCCACCTCCAATGCTGTGCAGAATCGCATGGTTCCCACCATCTTCTTACCTGCCCTGGTAAGCCTCCGGGGCCTTCTGCACCGACTGAGCTCTGTGCTGCGGGCTGTCTCAACACAGCCAGCTTTTTGTGGCCGCTTCAGAGGCCCTCGGATTGCAGTGCGGTCGTGTATGGGACGCTCCAACTCCTCTCTAAGTGTCTCACACCTTCACACAGGGGACTTTGCCTTTGTCTTGTCTGTGTGTAGAAAGGACGTTGTGTTTCCATCTAATGAAAACTTGCTGAACTCATTTGACTGTGCAGTCATTCAACTCCAGTGTTGGTGATGTGTGGCACCCATTCCGCAAGAAATTTAGTTTCCAGAGATAAAAGTTCACGTTCGATTTTCTTCAGCCAGCGGTCCTCCTGGGCCACAGAATTGGCATTTTGGAAGGGTAGAGCTCCTTGTGGTGGGTGTTGACTTGGGCCTACACTGGAAGTAGGTAGCTCTAACGGCGATGTGAATGTTGGAACCAGCTGGCCTTCTCCGAGAAGAGATATGTGGAGATACACATTGCTCCTGTATGCAGGCAGGGATACAAGGATCCTTCGTGGAAAAATGGATTTGAAAACTTAATTTTGGGGAGCTGACATTGTGGAATAGCAGATTAAGCTGCTGGTTCAGGTCCCGGATGCTTGGCTCCTTGGCCTGCTCTTTGCTCATGGCCTGAGAAAAGCAGCAGATGGCCCACGTGGGAAACCCCAGAGCAGAGTTCCAAGCCATCCCGGGAGCGAACCAGCTAATGACAGGTCTGTCTCTCTCTGTGTAACTTTGACTTCAAATGAAAAGTTCATTTGAATGAACTTTCATTCAAATGAAATCAATCCTTAAAAAAACAAAAGTTTATTTTGGTACAAGAAGTTTTGAAACCCATGCAGTTTTTCCCCCATAAGATATATCTTCAATGAACTTTTTCAAGATTCCTTTAGTACATGGATTTACATTTCTTTTGTAGCAAAATAAACTTAATTTCAGTTTCCATAGACTTTTAAAATTACCCTTATAGAGTAATGGATCAACCCAATACTCTTTCCTTCAATTCCTTCTTTCCCAGTTTCTTCTTACATAAACTGGGACAATACCTCTCTTGAAGATACACTCAGTGTATATCAAAAGTTCGTTTAGGGAGTTGGTGTTGGGGTGGAGGATGTTAACCTGCTGCCTGCGATGCTAGCATCCATGTGGAGTGGGCTTGAGTCCTGGCTGCTCTGTTTCCAGTCTAGCTCCCTGCTAATGTGCCTGGGAGGCAGTGGATGATGGCTGTAGTACTAGAGTCTTTGTTACTGTGTGGGACACCTGGTTGGAATTCCAGGCTTCTGGCTTTATCTTAGAGCAACCCGTGCTGTTGCAGGTATTTTGGCAATGAAACAGCAAATGAGGTATTGTTCATTGTTTCTCACTCTCCTGACACCTTCCCCCACCCCTTCTTCCCATGCTTCCAAGCTCCCAATCACTTTGGCTTTTAAGTCTATCAGTCAATCAATAAGCAAAACTTTGAGACATTCATTTGCAATTTCTATTGTCATAGTTGACACTCAGTAGGGCTTGTAACATGTTCTGTTTTCTGCAAAACAAAGCTTATATTTCTTCACAAAAGTTTCCCCGCATTCCAGTCATACCAAAACAACCTACTTACCTGTAATGGCCCATGATCATGTATTTCATACAATTTCTGTTTGTTTTAGAACCTGCTTCCTTTCCCCGTCACTCTAGTCAATGTCGTAGAGATTCAGTTGCAAGTGTTAACTGCTCTGTATAAAATATGTGAAGATAATTTTAAATACATTCACGATGAAGTTGGATTGTCTGAAGTCTTCACACTTTCTATAATCTTGCAGTGTGGAGAGTACCTGGAGGGAACCGCCAGATTAGGTTGTAACAGTGGGAATTGAGAAGAGGTGAGGAGTTTATAAAGATTTCTTTATTTTTATTTGGAAGTTACAGGGGCGGTTGGTGGGGTGGGGAGAGAACACGTGTGGGTGAGATCACCTCTGTCTGTTGGTTCTCTGCCCTGGCTGTTTGCACTGGCTAGGGTGGGGTCATGCTGAAGCCTGGATCCAGGAACTTCATCTGCGTCTCTGATGTAGGCAGAAGGGGCACAGCATTTAGTCAATCTTTTGTTGCTTTCCTGTGCCATTGGCAGGGAGTTGGATCAGAAGTGGAGCAGCAGGAACATAGACCAGTGCCCACAGGAGATGCTGGAGTCTCAGGCGATGCCTTTACCCACAGCATCACAACACCTGCCCCGTAACATGTAAAGATGGTTGGCTGGGTTTGAAACATTATGCAGAAAGTTAGGGTAACATTAAATGGTGGCTCTGTGCTATGAGATTGAGTGGGTTCTCAACCTTGTATCTTGTGTAAGAGGAGTATGAAAGAGTCATTGTAGACATTTTGATTTTGAACTTTTTCAGTTGTATTTAAATTAAAAAAAAGATTTATCTATTTTTTATTGGCAAGGCAGTTCTACAGAGAGAAGGAAATACAGAAGGATATTCCATTGATTGTTTCATTCCCCAAATGGCCACAACAGTCAGAGCTGAGATAATCTGAAGCCAACAGCCAGGAACTTCTTCCAGGTCTTCTACATGGGTGCCGAGTCTCAAGGTGTTAGGTCATCTTCTGCTGCTTTCCCAGGCACAAAAAGGAAGCTGGATGGGAAGTAGAGCAGCTGGAACATGAACTGGTGCCTATATGGCATTCTGGTGCATGCAAGGCAAGGATTTAGTCACCAGGACACCACACCACACCTGTATGTTAAATTTCTTGCTGCACTCTGTGCGATAGGAACATAGTTTATAATTATGTGTTAGCCCCAGTTCTTTGCACATGGGTTGTTCAGGAAGCATTGAACTGAGCTGTCTTGGATTGAGCTGAGGAGGCAGTGTCTGAGATGACCGAGTCAGGGTTCAGAGGATACTGTTTAGATTAGAGACGTAGATTTAGCATCCATGAGCACATTGGTAATAGTTTAGTTGTGATGAATGAAGGAGAAAGAGGGTCAGAGAAAATTCCTAAAATGCAGGAGCCCACAACAAAAAGACATAGGCAGAGGATTGGGAAACGGTTATGATAAGAGATGATATAGAGAAGGAGTCTATAAGGTGGTTAAACTGGCTAATTCTGGTATCGAGATGTATTTTTAAAAGTTCATCTCTGCATTTGTGTTTAAGCAGCACAAAAAGTCAACTGAATGGAATGATTGGTAAATGACTATGCGTTAATAGTTTCTCTGTAATCTTTAGTTAACAATATGTTCTTTGGTTTTTTATGTTAATTAATGTCTTTTCTTGTTTGTAAAGGAGACTTTTCAGTACACACTCTTCAAATGGGCTGAAGAGCTTCACGCTCTCAATCGAATACAAGACTTACTTGGTTGCTATGAGCAGGCCTTGGAGCTTCTTCCTGATGATGAAGTGATTTGCAATAGCATGGGGGAACATCTCTTCAGGTTTGTGGATTCCAGTATTACTTGTTGAGAATTATTCTGTATCATTCTGGATTAGGGATAAATTATCCAGTAAATTGGGTAGGAAAAGTTTGATATAGTAGAATAATCAGGGATCAGCCAGTAAGAAATAAGGAGAAATCAGAATAAGTGAATAGCAAGTATGATACTATTTTTGATATTATCTGATGTGCTTTGTTATATCCACTGCCCCTGAAGCTGAGATAGAATATCTAGGGGAAAATATCCCTAACCCTCCCCTCACTCCCAGGTCTGAGATCAAAGTCTTGATAGAGCTGTGATTTCTAGGATGACAGAGAAGTTATTGTGGTACCTGAATGGGACTTGTAAAACTGTTCTCTGGAATTTGCTGGAATTTGCTCTTTGGGATGCCAGAGGAAACATCAGGGGAGTGTATCTCAAAGAGATACATCAAGAGTGTAGGGGTTCTGGGGGAAGCTGCTGCCCGGTGGATACTGCTGGCTGCTTTGTACTTTGGGAAGTCTGGGGCTGTGAAAACGCAGAGCAGGTGGTCACTAGGAAGCAAGGCCCTTTGTCTTGCTGGGATCCTCTAGCACTGTTGAAGGACACATCTTCTTGTGTCAGCTGGTGGAAAACTATTGTAGGGCCGGTACTTTTGTCATAGAGCAAGTTAACAAGAGATTTAACTTGGCAGTAAGGTGAAACTGGCTGTGTTGGGGTCTTCAGCACCACTGTCAGGTCTGCTGATGTTTTAGGAAAACTCACAGCACTGAGCCAGCGAGAGTCCCAGCTCTGGTTTACTGCAGTGAAAGGAAATAAAGCAAAACATCAGCCGAAAGGAGAGGTGTAAAGTCTGAAGGAAACCAGTCGCAAGCCTGCAGAGGTCTTCCAGTGAAGTTGCACGGGGTCGGCCTCCTCACTTTACATGTTCTTTTCAGTCTTTCACGCCTTTCCCCACTGTTGCTTTCTTCTCACCTCAAATTATATCAGCTAAAATAAACAGTGTTGTTAATGAATTACAAAGCTCCTAAATGACAACAGAATGTCTTCCTAAGTGTGACTGGACTTCATTGGCTAATGTTCCCTTGATAGCCCACCGGATAATTTTGTTTCTGATGTCAGGGTTTCTTTGCTTGGCTTCATAGACTGTGCACAATCTGCTCTGGCAAAAAATACAGTTGATTTTTGACCACCAGGCGTACAGGAGCAGCTCGGAGGTGTCTCCTGGCCTTTGCCGTTGGTGTACTTTACAGAGAAAACTGGGGTTCTGGCAAGTGGAGCTCTCACTTCAGCGCAGGATCTGTACTGTACTGCAGTGTGTATAGTTGCTTAGGTACTTAGTAATGACCCAACATATATAATTGTTATAGGGGTTCAGAAAAGAAACAAGTCATGATTATTTTAGCAATCACAGAAGTTTCCTAAAGGAGACAGTACTTGATCATGGGGAGGTTGCTGGTGAGGTATTCCCAGGCCAGGTAAGTGGCATGAACGTATAATCAAATTCATTTTATCTGGCATTTTTCTTTTCTTTTTTTTTTTTTAACTCTAGGATGGGCTTTAGAGATGAAGCAGCTGGGTATTTTCGTAAAGCAGTGAAGCTAAACCCTGATTTCAATGATGCAAAGGAGAATTTTTATCGTGTTGCAAACTGGTTGGTGGAACGCTGGCATTTTATCATGCTTAATGACACCAAGAGGAATATGGTATATAATGCAGCAATCAAAAAGGCTGTTAGTTTGGGATCCAAAAGTGTTTTGGACATTGGAGCAGGAACTGGAATTCTAAGGTTTGCCATCATTCTTTTAAAATTACGTATATGCACGCAAGTTTGCTAATGTGAATTAAAGGAGTTTGCCAGATGTAGAATTTTAAGTATCAAAATCTTGAAATAGTTTATTTCTTATAGTCTTGTTAGGGTTATTCATACAATTACTATTATTTTAATTTTCATAATATCTTTTACTTATCAGGACACAGTTACTGAAATTTTGAATAATGAATTTTAACAATTTTAAAGATTCATTTCTTATTTTTATTACAAAGTCGGATATACAGAGAGGGGGAGAGATAGAGAGGAAGTGGAGCTGTCAGGATTAGAACTGGCGACCATATGGGATCCCGGCGTGTTCAAAGCGAGGACCTTAGCCACTAGGCCACACCACTGGGCCCAAGAAGATTCATTTCTTTAAAAGGCATAGTTACAGAGAGCAAGAGAGAGAGGGAGAGACAGAATATCCCATCCATCAATTTGCTCCCGTGATCTTGAAGTTAACAAATACTGTTTGACTTGAAAAATAATTTTTATCATATATCAAAGTAACCAGATCAACATGGGACACTACATTAGTCACTACTGATTCATAGATATATAAATTAGATTTAGCTTCTACTTTTTCCATCTCCTCTTCCTCTATAAGGGGAAGTTTGGTGTACGACAATACATCCTTTTTAAACAGTTATAGCTTAGATCAAGGCACTGAGTAGTGTGGAAAAAGAAAATCTATAATAGGGTGCCTAAACATTCAATTCAAAATTGTTTTTTTTTTCCTTCTTTAAATGACATGTACTTTAACTATGAGGCAGCTATTCAGGTTTTCAATAACATTTAGGGATACATTCAAAGGATTTACTAGACAGTCCAGGTGAAATGGTTGTAGAAATAGAGGCAGTGTCATTACATATCAAAATCTACTTTGATATCTGGAAGTTTACAAAAAGACTTGAGTTCTTCAAATTAATGATGCTTTCTGTGACTCAGGCACTCTTTTCTTGGCAAGCTCAAATTAAAATTTACTCATGAAGGTAAGGGTGCTTTCTTCTAGAAAAGTTTCTTTCAAAAAAAATTTTTTTGAAGATTTGTTTATTTTTTTGGAAAGGCAGATGTACAGGGAAAAGAAGAGACAGAAAGAGAGAAAAATCTTCCGTCTACTGGTTCACTCCCCAAATGACTGCAGTGGCCAGAGCTGAGCTGATCTGAAGCCAGGAGCCAGACATTTCTTGCTTGTTTTCCACATGGGTGTGGGGTCCAGGGGTATGAGCAATCCTCTCCTGTTTCCCCAGGCCATTGGCAGAGCTGGATCAGAAGTGCAGTAGCCAGATTAAAGCCATCACCCATATGAGAGGTGGATGCTTGCGTGATTAACCTGTTGAGCCACTGTGCCAGCCCAGTATTTTGTGCTTTTAAAAAACAATTTGTTTGGGCCTGGTCCGGCAGGGTAGCGGCTAAAGTCCTGGCCTTGCACACTGTGGGATCCCCTATGGGCGCTGTTTCACGTCTTGGCTGCTCCACTTCCATCCAGCTCCCTCTTCTGGCCTGGCAAAGCAGTAGAGGATGGATCAAAGCCTTGGGACCCTCCTGGCTTCGGATCGGCTTAGCTCTAACCATTTGGCCATTTGGGGAGCGAACCAGTGGTGGAAGATCTTTCTCTCTGTTCTGCTGCTCTCTGTAAATCTGCCTTTCCAGTAAAAATAAATAAATCTTAAATTTTTTTTTTTGAGATTTGACCCATATACGTACCATGCATACTGTCACATGGACACATAGAGAAAGTTCCTGTTTGCTAGTTTTCTTGCTAAATATCCACAATGACTGAAGTTGAAGTTGGAAAACCAGCTAGGATCGCTGAACATAATGCAGGCCTTCCACATGGGTGGCAGGAACCACGGCTTGTCTTATCACTCATTCTTACTTTGCATTGGCAGGATCCTGGAGTTAGAGTTGAGCTGGGAATCAAACCAGGTACTCTAATGAGGGACATAGATATCTCACTGAATAAGCTAAACACATGTTTCCAACTGTTTTTTTAATTAATTATTTTTTTTTATTGGAAAGGCGGATATACAGAAAGGAGGAGAGACAGAGAGGAAGATCATCCGTTCAGTGGTTCACTCCAAAGTGACCAGAATGGCTGGAGCTGAGCCAGTCCGAAGGCAGGAGCCAGGAGCTCTTTCGGGTCTCCCATGTGGGTGCAGGGTCCCAAGGCTTTGGGCCATCCTCGATTGCTTTCCCAGGCCACAGGCAGGGAGCTGGATGGGAAGTGGGGCCGCCGGTATTAGAACTGGCACCCATATTGGATCCGGGCGCGTACAAGGTGAGGAGATTAACCACTATGCTATCGCGCTGGGCCTTCCAACTTTGTTTTAATGTAATGAACATCATGATTATATGATATATTTCTAGACAATTCATTTTTTTTTCAATATGGGATGGTAGTGGCAGTATTAAAGAAAACAGTTGAAATTTGAAGATGTGAAATATGCAGTAGACTATTTTTCCATAATGCAGCATTTTTTTCCCTCCTTGTAGCATGTTTGCTAAGAAGGCTGGAGCACACTCTGTTTATGCCTGTGAGTTATCCAAGACCATGTATGAACTTGCCTGTGATGTAGTGGCAGCCAACAAGATGGAAGCAGGGATCAAACTGTTGCATATGAAGTCACTTGACATAGAGATTCCGAAACACATTCCTGAAAGGTACTACAATGTAAACTGGTTTTAGTGCTTATAATCAGCTATTTTACCTTTTAAAAATTACTGTTTCTACTATGGTCTAGATAGGAGGATAAGGGATATTCATGAAACTTCTTAATCTTTTAATTACCTAAATAAATGATACTGTCAGTAACAGCTAAAGGAATTCGGGAAGGTAGTAATTATTTTGGTGTGTCTTTGAGTAAAAATTTTCTCCCATCCAAGTACTAACCAGGCCCTGAGTAAAAATTTTCTATAAGCAAAGAATGGACAAAAGAGCAGAGCTGTACAGACCAGTGGTTTTTGTACACTCACAGTTAAGTAAAGTAAAAGTCAGTAAGGTTAGAGACACGATAGGCATGATCAATGTGTAAGAGACCAACTCCGGGTGTGCAGTGTCCTAGGTGTTAGAGACTGGATCTGGAGAGGGGTCTGACCTTCGGTAAATGTTCTTTCTGGATCAAGATAAATGAGAACTGAGGAAGAGGATTGCTTTTGAATATATGTATAGGGTGCTACATGCACACACACTTACTGGTGGCTTCAGGACAGGAGACTGGAAAGGGTAGTGGATGAGAGCTTCCCATCCTTAGGGGATTGACGTGTACAATGATGAGCAGGCCACAGTGCCAAGCGAAGGTTGTTCCTCTATCGGGGTCCCTCGTCCCACGAGCAAGACCCCGATACTGTAAAGATTCTTAAAAAAGTTTATTGGTCAAGACTTCAAGCGTTGTGGCAAAGTGAAAGCAGTTACAGCATTTGTAAGATTTATTACAGTAAAGCAAAAGCAGCCTAATGCTAGCTAGCAATAGCCTTGAAGTGATAACGATAGCTCTAGCTCTAGCCTTGAAGCACGCCTGGGAGAATCTCCTCATTAACTATTTTTCACCCAGACCTTTTTACATTACACAAACCAATCCATACACAGTTCCTCACATCATGTGGTAAGCACACCAATCATGACTTAGGTCACGTAGCTTCCCTGCGTGCTCGGCCCAATCCTCAGTAACTTCCCAAAACCTGTTTACCACCTTTGTGCCACGAAGCAATGGTCAACAAGCGCCATCTTTGAGGCGCGGCTCCGCTCTCCACATTCTTCCTTCCCCTCAACCAATAAATAAGAAGGAGCCGATAGAGCACAATAGTGTCAGGAAGACGAGAGCAAATTCCTCAAGATTCAGGAGTACATGTTGAAACTGGAATATATCAAAAAATTTTACATGTGGGTTATTTTGATAATATGCTCTTCCTTCTCTCAGCTTTGATATCTCTATGTAATAGCCTAACACTTTACTTACATATGTCTTTAAAAAATCATTCTATAGAGTGTCCCTAGTTGTAACAGAAACTGTCGATGCAGGTTTATTTGGAGAAGGAATTGTGGAGAGTTTGATACATGCATGGGAGCATTTACTTTTGCAACCAAAGGTAAGCAGTATAAATATAAACATAAATAAATATATATGCCAAAATGACATATTTAGTAGGAATTTTTTTTTTTAAATTTGTAAATGGCAATGGAAAAGGCAGCACTTGGTTTAATTGATTTGATTTCATAACCTTCTCTGCTTGGAATTTTGCTGAATTATCAAAAGGTAGTGCTACTTGGCTTGTTAGTTTTTTTTTTTTAAGATTTATATATTTTGATTAGAAGGTCAGATATACAGAGAGGAGAGACAGAGAGGAAGATCTTCTACCCGACGATTCACTCCCCAAGTGGCCGCAACGGCCAGAACTGAGCCGATCCAAAGCCAGGAACCAGGAGTTTCTTCCAGGTCTCCCACGCGGGTGCAGGGTCCCAAAGCTTTGGGCCATCCTCGTCTGCTTTCCCAGGCCACAGGCAGGGAGCTGGATGGGAAGTAGAGTGGTAGGACGTGAACTGGCACCCGAATGGAATCCTGGCACTTCCAAGGCCTCAGCACTGGGGCCAAAACTCACTTGTATCATTGTGAAATTATACTTTTTATTGAATTTCTCTGCTGTGCTTTGCAAATCATATGTTTTATACATATGCTATTCATTATGTGGGAAGGATTTTAACACGTAATAAAAGTGAACTATTTACAACAAAAATTTCAGATTGAAAATATTCTTTGAAATGAAGAGCCATTTATTTTTGTTATATGTAATAAAGATTTTGTTTCTCAGGGTAATGCCACAGAGGTTTTACTTTATAATGCTGCTGCTTTCCTTCTCCTTGCTTCCATCCTCTGCTTTCTTCCTCCTTCTATTCTTGCCTTAGTATTTATATTATGAAGTTAAAAAAGCATACACTTGCACACAAATATGAGATGTTCATACATCGTGATGAAAACAGTCCTTCCCTTAGCTTGCTTTTCCTTATTTAAAGTTCCCCTTCCTACTGCTTTTCATAACTTATCATTTATGCACATTTTTTATACATGTAATAATAGTGTTGTTGTATTTTTAGACCAAAGGTGAAAATGGTAATTATGAAAACTATGGGAAAGTTATACCAGCAAGTGCTGTAATATTTGGGATAGCAGTCGAGTGTGCAGAAATAAGAAGACATCATAGGTAAGTGACTATTTTAGTAGTAAATATTAAAAAACAGTATAAGGAAAATACTGAATTTAAAGTTATTCAGGGAATATTTGGGTAGGGACTTACAGCTTTCTGACCTTTAAATTTAATGGCATTTTTGTGTAAATAAGATAATTTCAAAAAGTGTAGAAAATTAAATTGGTAGATGCATTATTTGATGCAGTTTTGAAATTCATGCAGTTTTATTTCATAGTCTACATTTTCCATGAACTCTGATCCGTGTGTACATGGTTTTAAAGTTTTTTTTTTTTCATTGAAACAAGCTTACTTTTTGATTCAATTTTTCAAAAATTTTTCCAAGTACACGTATGTGTGTGTGTAGAGAGCAAAATACATTTTTTTAAAGATTTATTTATCTGTATTGGAAAGTTAGATTTTAAAGACAGAAGGTGAGACAGAGAAAAGGATCTTCCATCCGGGGTCTTCCATGCAGGTGCAGTCTCAAGGCTTTGTGTCATCCTCAACTGCTTTCCCAGGCCACAGGCAAGGAGGTGGACAGGAACTGGAGCGATTGGAATATGATGCAAGGCAAGGATTTAGCCATTAAACCATTGTGCTGCACCCTAAAAGGCAGATTTAAAGAGCAGAGACAGGTCTTCCATTTGTTGAGTCACTCCCCAAATGGCTGCAGTGGCCAGAGCTGAGTTGATCCAAAGCTAGGAGCCAATGACTTATGGCCCTCCCATGAGAGTGCAAGGATGAAGGACTTGAATCATCCTCTGTTGCTTACCCAGGCAATCAGCAGGGAGCTAGATTAGAAGTGGGACAGCTGGGCAGGGCCCAGTGCTCGTGGGGAATGGTAGTGCTTACAGACTGAGGACTAGCTTGATGTGCCACTGTGTCAGCCTTGTTGACTTTTAATAGTAAAACTTAATGGTAAAGAAATGGGAACAAAGAATACGGTAAAAATGGATTTTCACTTTTTATAATAAGTTTAGACTCAGATATGTAAATATAATATATAATATATAAAATGTGTAATAACTTGAAATTTTCACTTCACCTTGTATGACATGTGAAATGTAATTAAATAACTGACATTATTAGCATTTCCATTTGATGATTTAGCTTTTGGATATAATAAAATAATTTTTGAAAGTACACTTCACTTCTGAAATCATACTAAGTCAAGTAAACTAAAAAAGGAATGCTGCTGAATTGAGGTGGGATGAGGTTGGAGTGTTGATCCCTTTACAGAATGGTATTAAAATGTTCCCGAAATGTTTTTCCAGCATAGATTTTTATTATTGACACCTAAAAATTTTGTAGCAAGTGCATAGACCATAAATTTGTGAATTTTAAATTTGACGAATTTTTATGAAGTTGATAGACTCCACTTCAAGGGCTAAAGAACTTGTTGAAAAAGACACAAATGAATAGGAAGCATGAAAATGTAAAATTTGCAGGAAAAATAGTTGGATTTGAAACCAAAAAACTATACATTGAAACAAGAGCCTTCCCTAAGAAGATGATCAAATCAACCCGTCAGCCATATTAAGGAACATCATCGGAAAACAACCACTTAAAGTTAGAGATGAAAGAGGAATGGTTTCAACTTTCTGCTCTTTACACTGTTTTCATAGGCAATTGTAGAGATTCTGATTTCTTGTTGTTAGAAGTTTTAATGGGGGTCTACCTTCATTCCTTGGTAGAGGCGTGTTCTATTGATTTTGTTTGATTACTGGCACTCTCTGGTCTCCATTGCATACTTTGTGGGGTTACATGTGTGTTTTTATTCTACTTTATACTTTTTTGTGTGTATTTTTTGGTGGAAGTTGTCTTATATTAGAGTGAACATATGATATCTGTCTTTCTGGGATTAGTTCGTTTCACTTAGCATAATGTTCTCCAGTTGGGCCCATTTGGATGCAAATGATAGTTTCATTCTTTGTAATGCCTGAGTAATATTCCATGAGTAGATGTACCATAGTTTCTTTATCCAGTCCTCTTTCAATGGAAATTTAGGTTGTTGCATGTTCTTGTGATCTTAGCCAGCATCTTAACTGCTATACTAAATGCCTGTCCCATGGATGACTTTTTTGGTGTTTTGTTGAATATGTTTTCTTTCACTTCTCACAGCAAATCTTGTCAGAAGTTCTTTAATGTAAACTGTGATTTGCTTTCCTTTGTAATTCATGTTTCATATATATATTACATATGTATAAATGTAACTATGTCTAAGAAACCTTTGCCTCTGAGGTTTTAGTTCTCTTTTATACTTATTTTTCTGGATTGCGCCTTAGCTGGTGTTACTTGATTTTGAGGAAGACCCATTTCTTTCTGTTTCCTCTGTTACTAGAGTGGGTATGAAGGATGTTGCTGGTATCCACTTGCCAGCCAATGTGAAATTTCATAGTCCAGCATACTCTTCTGTGGATACTGAAGAAACAGTTGAACCTTATACAACTGAAAAGATGAGTCGGATCCCTGGGGGCTATGTGCCTTTGACAGACTGCTTCAAAATTATGACAGTAAATTTCAACAGTCTTCAGGTAAATGAATGGTCAGCTACTGTTTTTAAACATTGACTTTTTTTTGAAGATTTTGTTTTTTATTTGAGCGGTGAAGTTACAGAGAGATGGAGAATGAGAACAAAAGGGAGTAAGAGAGAGAGATATCTTCCATGCACTGATTTGCTCCCCAAATGGCTCCAGGGCCAGAGCTGGACTGATCTGAAGCCAGGATCCAGGTAGCTTCTTCAGGTCTCCCACATAGGTATAGGGGTCCAAGGACTTCTGCTTTTCCTGGCCATAAGCAGGGAGCTGGACGGGAAATGGCATATCTAGGACATTAACCTGTGCCCATACAGGTTGCCAGTGCCATAGGTGGGAGCTTAGCCTACTGTGCCACAGTGCCAAACCCCTACATTTCATGCATTGTTCATGAATGATTTAGGTTTTACTTTTGGAAGTAATGTCTGCCCATTGAATATGTTCAAGCAGTTCAGAAGAATAGACAGGAAAAAAGTCATAGCGTTTTTCTTCCTTTTAAAATCCTGGCCCTTCTTTCCCAAGTCATTGGTTGGAAGTACATCTTTCCAGACTTGCTTTGCTAGTTTTCTACAAACATACACTTTTCCCTGTTGCTCTGCCACGTGCGTTTTCTGCCACCTGTATGTCATAGACTTCTTTCCACATCAGCAGTATGTTTGTGCCTCATCCTTCTGAGCATAGCTTTATAGCATTCCAAAAAGTCAGAAGACCCCGTCCATTGCACCTGAGGTAGTTGTAGGTGTGCCAGCTGACTGAGTCCTTGAAGATGCTGGGCAGGACTGAAACATTTTCAGATAGGAAGTGATGTTATATTGAGGTATGAATATATTAAATGTATAAAATTATCTCTCTCTCTCTTTTTTTTTTTTTTTTACATCTTAGGAATTAAAAAGTCTTGCAGCTAGAAAGCCTGATCAGATTTGTGTTCCTGTTATGAAAGAAGGCATCCTCGATGCTGTTGTGGTTTGGTTTGTGCTCCAGCTCGATGATGAACACAGTCTGTCCACAAGTCCTGGGGAGGAAACGTGCTGGGAGCAGGCTGTGTACCCTGTGCAGGACCTCGCAGGTGAGGCTTGTCTACCTTTGGCTTTACATTTGTTGCTTTAATTCTCCACGCCTTCTAGCCACTGGTCTCTTCCCTGATTAGTGTGGGTATGAAGTTTCCAGTCAAATGAGTTTGGTTCAGTCTTTCAGTATTTCCTTTTTTCTTTTTTTTTTTTTTTTAATGAATTTTAACTAGGTAACATATGTAAAGAAGAGGGAATAAAGCTCTGCTGCCTGCCACTCAAAGATACCTGTTGTTAAATAACTTTTTTCAACTGTGGTTTTCTAGTTACTAATGAAAGCGATCCATGTTCAGTTTTTAATGGAAAGCCTTGGATACATACTGCTTTTTTTTTTTAACATTTATTTATTTTTCTTGCAAAGTCAGATATACAGACAGGAGGAGAGACAGAGAGGAAGATCTTCCGTCTGATGATTCCCTCCTCAAGTGGCCGCAATGGCCAGTGCTACGCTGATCCGAAGTCAGGAGCCAGGAACTTCTTTCCAGGTCTCCCATGTGGGTGCAGGGTCCCAAGGCTTTGGGCTGTCCTCTACTGCTTTCCCAGGCCACAAGCAGGCAGCTGGATGGGAAGTGGAGTTGCCGGGGTTAGAACCAGCGCCCATATGGGATACCGGCGTGTTCAAAGCAAGGACTTTAGCTGCTAGGCCACAGCACCAGGCCCACATATTGCTTTTAGTGAGGGAATTTGATGAAAAATTTGATGGCATCTGTGGAGTCACAGACTATAAACATACTCTATCATATGATCACAATATTGACACTTTGAGGGAGCTAATGGGTCCACACCTTTCCCAAAGAAGCTGCATTTTAGAGATGCTTTTGAATACAACTTGTTTGTTTTTCTGCCATTTTATGGGATTCAGTAAGTCTACAGCAGTTGAATTATATAGAAAACACTATCCTCTTTTTTTTTTAGGTTTGTTTATTTTTGTTGGAAAGTCAGATTTATAGAGAATCAGAGACAGAAAGATCTTCTATCCACTAGCTCCTAAAATGGTTGCAGTGCCCAAACCTGAGCTGTTCTGAAGCCAGGAGCTTTTTCTGGGTCTCCCTTGTGGTGGCAGGGTCCCAAGGCTTTGAGCTATCCTCTGCTGCTTTCTCAGGCCACAAGCAGGGAGCTGAAAAGGAAGTGGAGTAGCTTGGAAAGGAACTGGTGCCCCTATGGGATCCCGGCACTTGCACGGGGAACTATTGTACTTGGCCTGAAAACTATCCTTTTTAAAGTGGAAGGTAAGGGCCCGGCGTGGTGGCGCAAGTGGTTAAAGGTCCTCGCCTTGCACGCCCGGGATCCCATATGGGCGCCGGTTCTAATCCCGGCAGCCCCGCTTCCCTTCCAGCTCCCTGCCTGTGGCCTGGGAAAGCAGTCGAGGACAGCCCAAAGCTTTGGGACCCTGCACCCGCGTGGGAGACCCGGAAGAGGCTCCTGGCTTCAGATCGGCATACTATCGGCCCGTTGCGCTCACTTGGGGAGTGAATCATCGGACGGAAGATCTTCCTCTCTGTCTCTCCTCTCTGTATATCCGCCTTTCCAATAAAAAAAATAATAAAAATAAATCTTTAAAAAAAAAATAAAGTGGAAGGTAATGTACTTGTTTTTCTGTCTGGTCTTTTTTTTTTTTTTTTTTGTAAGATTTATTTTACTTTTATTGGAAAGGGAGGAGAGACAGGAAGATTTTCCTTCTGCTGATTCACTCTCTAAGTAGCCACAATGACAGAGCTGTGCCGATCTGATCCCAGGAGCCAGGAGCCTCTTCCAGGTCTCCCACATGGGTGCAGGGTCCTAAGGCTTTGGGCTGTCTGCAACCACTTTTCCAGGTCACAAGTAGGGAGCTGGAAGGGAAGTGGGGCCACTGGGATTAGAACTGGCACCCATGTGGGATCCGGGTGTGTGCAAGGCGAGGATTTCAGCCACTACGCTATTGCACCGGGCCAATCTGGTCTTTTGATCAAAGATATAATTCAGCACAGTCATTAAGTCGTAAAATCTAGAGTTGTAGATAGTATGATGTTTTTGGAGTATATGTGCATTCATTCCTTGCCTCTGCTACTTACTGACCTTTCCTGGCTAGCCTTGCCAGTTATCGCTAAGATTTTATTATGTCATATATAAAAATGAGATTATTCTGTATACCTTGCAGTAACTATTGCAGACATTTTTAGAGATAATGGGTATAAAATGTCTACCACATTGACACTCAGGAATGACAGTTTTTTCTTTGTGATTATTCTGACTCTCTTGGAGTAATTTTCACAGCTGGCAGTAAAAAAAAAATCCTTCTTGGCAAGGGACATATTAAACATTGGATTGGCAGTTTGTGCATTTGTTTGATTCTAGGACTGATGAAGAGGAATTGTCATTATATATTTATATTTTAAAGTTTTAACCATAATATGGAAGCTAATAGAAAGAACAATGATGTGGGGTTTTTATGGTACGACTTACAGTCTGTTAATTCCAGATTCTTAAACATGCGGAGATTAAGAGATATTACTTAAATTATTTTGTTGAATGCTACTTTTTTCTTTTGTAAGCTTCTCTGACAGAAAGAAAGTCCTTTGAAGCAAAAGTCATGTTTAGTATTGAGCTGTGAATTTCATGTACCATCATTGTTTTAAACTTAATTACCAAAGATGATAGATAGCCCCCTACAGTACTTTGCTGTTGGCTCGTGTGGGGACACAGTGATACCTCATGATTGCAGTAAAAGCACTGTGATACTGGGTTGAGTAGGGTTTCATAATGGAACTCTTGAAACACTCCATTAGGCTGTAAGTTAACTGAATCTTCAAGTTCCACCTTTCCCTAGGTGAAGCTAGTGGGCTATGTCTAACGTTCTACATGTTAAACAAGTATAAGTAATCCATCCTGTGTTGATTTAAACAATGGCAGGACAAATGTCAGCTTAGATTTCTGTGATCCTCAGGCTTACAAGTACCCCATATCAATCTCTTATACTTTTTTTTTTCTTACCATTTTATGAAGACTATTGGGTGAAGCCTGGGGACCACGTGGTGATGGAAATATCTTGCCAAGATTGTTACTTAAGAATCCAACATATTAGTATCTTGGATTTGGAGCATGAAATGGATACTGCAAAAAGTTTTAACAATAAAGACTTGTCATCTTTTGGAAATGAGGCTGAACTCTGTGATGCCCTGGCAAACCTTCAGACCAGTAATCCAGATGCTGTGGAACAGGTGTGTGTTTTGGAATCCACAGAAATTGCTTTGCTGAACAACATCCCATATCATGAAGGCTTTAAAATGGCAATGAAAAAAGTGCTGTCTTCCTTGACTCCAGAGAAACCATGTCAGGCCATGGATACTCACTGTCAGGACAGCGAAATGAGCTCTGGAGCTGAACAGAGTGATGCTGTGGAGAGCAGCCCCGAGCCTTTCTACGTGTTGGATGTGTCTGAAGGCTTCTCTGTCCTGCCTATCATCGCTGGCACACTCGGACAGGTTAAACCATACAGCTCTGTGGAGAAAGAACAGCACCGTATCACGTTGGGTCTCATATCTGAAGCCAATCACTTTCCTAAAGAAACACTTGAGTTTTGGCTGAGACATGTTGAGGATGAATCTGCTATGTTGCAAAGACCAAAGTCAGACAAGTTGTGGAGCATAATTATATTGGATGTTATTGAGCCCTCTGGACTCATTCAGCAGGAAATAATGGAAAAAGCGGCAATATCCAGGTAAGACACAAACTACAACTTTTCCTTTTTTTTTTTTTTGTTTTTTTGGTCTCAAGTCGTGTGTGAATTCTCCTGACTCCTTTAGTGGAGTAAATTGACTGAGTGACGTTGGCTGTGGCTCCGGTGTTGCTTTGCACACTAGTGCCTTCTTGCTTTTCTCTTTATGTGCATTGCATGTACTGCAATGTTTTTGTCCTAAAGAAATCTTTATACTGTAGATGTGAAGAAGAACGCTTGCTACTTTGGGTTTGGATTGGTGATATGTCATTTGGGGGCATTAGATAGAAATCAGAGTATGTAAGAGGAAGTTGGGGTGAAAAAAGCAAAAGTTGAATTTTACCTTTATGACATGAGGAATATACAAGGAATACCTTACTAAATATGTGGTAAATATGTGGAGCTACCTGCTGTGATCAGTATGGTTAAAATCTAAGTTAAAGTCTGCTCAGCTAGTCAAATTGAGGATTTAAACCCAGATGCAGTCAGTTGCCTGAAGTCTGAATTTGGTTATGGGTTTTACATTTTTCTTACAGACTGAGTACATGTATTGAATCAAGCTTAATAATACAGATGTGTGTGTAGCTACACGTTACATTGAAAATCAAAGAATAGGGCCTGGTGCAGTAGCTTAGCAGCTAAAGTCCTCTGCTTGAATGCACCAGGGTCCCATATGGGCACTGGATCTAATCCTGGTGGCCCCACTTCCTATCTAGCTGCCTGGGAAAGCAGTCGAGGATGGCCCAATGCCTTGGGATTTTGCACCCATGTGGGAGACCTGGAAGAGGCTCCAGGCTCCTGGCTCCTGGCTTCAGATTGTCTCAGCTCTGGGCCGTTATGGCCACTTGGAGAATGAATCATTGGGCGGGAGATTTTTCTTGCTGTCTCTCCTTTCTGTGTATTTGATTTTCAGTAATCTTTTTTTTTTAAAGAAAATTAAAGAATAGTTTATTGAAAATCAAAGAATGCCTAGTAATAGCTAAGGTGAAATGATTATTGATTAAGGAGGTTTATTATTCCTTGCCCTGTTTGATGTTACCTATATGAAGAGGACGGAAAACAATGGGTTATTAACTTGTTTCAGTGAACTTCTAAGACATCCAGCTCATCTATCCTTACCCCTCTCATGCCCAGTCCTAGCCTCTGGTAACCATGTGTTCTGTGGTTTGGATCTCACATGCTCCAGAGGCCTGTGGTAAAGGCTTGGTCCCCAGGGCAGCACCTCTGGGAGGTGGCAGAAACTTCTGGAGGCAGAGCCTAATAGGCTGTCCTTGGAACACTGGGGGCATGTTCCCCCAAAGCAGTATTTAAGATGTGGCTTGAGATGGCAGCATCAATTTCTGAGTGCCTTGGTTCAGTCCTGGCTCTGCTTGCAATTCTAGCATCCTGATAATGCCTGTGCTGGGAAGGAACAGGTGATGGGGCAAGTGCTTGGGTGCCTGCCAGCCTGGGTGCCAAGCTCCTGGCTTAGTCTGGCACACCCCTTTCCTTCTCAGAATTCACTCACACAGACAGAAAGACAGACAGACACACACACACACACACACACACACACACGGCATAGCAGATTGAAGTCATCTCTTGAGATACTCATCCCACTCACAGTGTTGCTTCCATTTCCAGCAGAGACTAGGGGCTCAGTGTCTAAATTCTTGTCTTACACACTCCGGGATCCCATACAGGCACTGTTTTGTGTACTGGCTGCTCCTCTTCCCATCCAGCTCCCTGCTTGTGGCCTGGGAAAGCACTAGAGGATGGATCAAAGCCTTGGGACTTTGTACCCATGTGGAAGACCTGGAAGAAGCTCCTGGCTTCAGATTGGCTCATCTCTGGCTGTTGTGGCCACCTGGGGAGTGAAACAGCAAGATTGAGCATCTTTCTGTGTCTCTCTTCTCTGTAAATATTTTATTTCCAATAAAAACAAAGAACTATTGAAAAAAAAAAAAAAGAAAGGAAAAGAAGCAGAGGCTGGACTCGGTTCCATCTCCTCTGATACGAGATGTGGAATTTCCAAGCAGTAGCTTAAATCTTTGTGTTGCAATGTCCCTGTGTTCTTTTAGTTCATGGACTATTCTGATTACAGTGTTTGAATTATCTGTTAATTCATATGTCTCCATTTCTTTACTGTCAGGTTCTGGAGATTTAATTTATTCATTGGATTGAACCATGTTTCCCTGGTCATTTGTATTCTTTATCCTTTATTTAATTAGGCTTATAGAAGGTACCTAGCTCTCCTATCTTTACTTTCTGGCTTGGTAGATACAGGTAGGGAATTTATTCATTAGGCTGACTAAAAATTCTGAAGATTTCTCAGTTCTTTTCTAGAGGTGTACTGTCCTTGGACTGATAGAAGACTTTTGCTTGTGTTTATCCAAGACCTGTCCATACACCTGCATTGTCTAACCTCCCTGAGCTTTAGCAAACCACAGTGTTGGAGCGCTCCCTAGTGTCTTTCTGTGTTACTGTCAGCCCTCTGGTACTCTGCTAAACCACGATGGGCTCCTGGGTTCTTGGTGACTCCCTCAGCCTGTCACCAGTTCTTGAGTAGTCAAAAACAGCAGAAATCACACCCTGGAGCAGATTTTTGAAAAATCAGAATGTTGGATTAAGTCCTACTTTCCGAAGCACAGTTTGGCAGTTAGGAAGCTTCTCCCAATTGTGTAAAATTGTGTTGGGAAGGGGTGCTGTGGTGACTAGATGCTATTTATTTTATGCCCATTATAAAACATATTTTAAGATTTTTATTGGCAAGACATATTTGCAGAGTGAAGGGGAGAGAGAGAGAGAGAGAGAGAGAGAGAGATTGAGATATAGAGATAGATCTTCCACTTGCTGTTTTATTTCCCAGGTGGCTGCAATGGCTGGAGCTGAGCTGGTCCGATGCCAGTAGCTAAGAGCTTCTTCCAGGTCTCCCAAGAGTGGTGCAGGGTCTCAAGGCTTTGAGCCATTCCACATTGCTTTCCCAGGTCATAAGGAGGAAGCTGGATGGGGAGTGGAGAAGCTGGGACGTGAACTGGGGCCCACATTGGGGTACCAGTGATGACAGATGGAGAGTTAACTAATTGATGTAATGTACCATTCCTTCATTTTCAGTGTGGTTCCTCTTGGCTCCCTGTTTGGCTGGGGTTCAGGATCTTCATAACAAGTTTCTGATTTTCTCACAAAGTTAGTTAGTCTGTATATTTTTGTTAAGTTCATGTCTCCATGAAGGAAGGTGGATCTTGGGTTCGCTGTTATGTTTTCTTGCTGATCTCATTCTCCCTGTAGCTTCGTAGTAACTTTCAAAATCAGGATTTATGGGACCTTCAACTTGATTCTCAGAGATTGTTTCCTTGAAAAATTATTTTAATTCCTTTGGGATACCATTTGATTTTTAGGATGAGCTTTTCTGTTCCTGCCATAATTGTCGTTTTGACAGAGTTTATTTACTGTATGTCATTGAGATGATATTGACATCCTAGCAACATTTAGCCTTGCAGTCCAGGAACATGGGCTCTACGTGTGCTGTCTTTAATTTCTTTTAGCCAAGTTTTGTAGTTCTCAACACCTAGGTCTTTTACTTTGATTGGGTTTAATCCTAAAGTATTCTGTATTTTTTGGTGTTATTATGAATCAAATTATTTTCTCAATTTACTTAGCAAGCCAAAAGAAAGGGTCCTGAAAACCCTCGGTTTATAGATAGTTGACCAAACAATAGTACTGGAATCTTATATGTTAGAAATGTGGACTGATTTCTAATTTGAGGATAACTTTGGGTAGATACTGTCCAAGTTGACGAGAGTCATAGCTGTTAGCTGGCTTGTTGCTCTGCTCCTCCTAGCTGGTGACAGGGGACAGAGGACAAAGTGATGTCAGCTGAAAGCCCTACATTTACTGTTGTTAGATTCACCACTTGCCAGATGTTAGATTTGCCACTGGCCAAAATATTAGATTTGCTGACCACCAGGGAAAGAATAACTCAGCCAGATATATGAAAAGGATTTAGATGGCCTTTATTTCAGCGAACCACGGTCATGGGCTTCGCTTCCCCATGCAGCAGAAAGATGTGAAGGAGTGAGCTGCAGAGGAAGAAGAGCATGGAAGAGATGGGGAAGGGGCTTTTTAAACTCTTCTTGACATGGAAGCCAAAACAGGGGTCACCTCGACCCTTATTGGTGGGGAGATATGGATCTGTGCCCCTCATTGGTGCAGTTGTGGTCTCACAGCCTGAGGGGCCTGGCAGATTCTGCCATCTATTCAGGGTTTGGTTTGAGGCTAACCCTGTCCTTCTCTGGTTGCCATGGTAGCCATCAACTACCAGATGTGTTAGGAACAGAAACACATCTGGCAGGGTATTATCCTACTGCTTACTCCCTATTCCTCATAGACTTCATGATCCAGAGTTTTTTGTTTTTAAGAGGTTGTCTTATATCAGATTTATTTATTTTGTGTTGGAAACTCGGAGTTGGAGGGAGGGAGGGAGAGACAGAGATCTGTTGCTTCATTCCCCAAATGGCTGCAATGGCTAGAGCTGGGCTGATCCAAAGCCAGGAGCCAAGGACTTCTACATCTCCCACTGCGATGCAGAGGTCCAAGTGCCATGCCAGCTTTTGCCGCCTTCCTAGGCCTTTAGTAGGGAGCTGGATTGGGAGTGGAGCAGCCTGGACTAGAACCCAAATGGGATGCTGGTCCCGTAGATGGAAGCTTAGCAGGCTAAGGCACCACAATGGCCCTAGCTAATTAAAGTTTTGTTAAGAGCTGTGTAATTTAGTTAAAAAGCTTACACTTTTATTACTTGTGGAGATTGAATTTCTGTCACTTTACCTAAAATGCTAAAAATTTCATTGGAAGAATAATGAACGTGAGTAAAATAGTCAAGATGGTTGATTTGTATGTGTTAGCATAAGGCTTATAACTCAGGTGATTGTTGGAAAACTGCCTAGGACACTGACATTGAAAAAATATGGTTATTGGGCCCGGCGCGGTGGCACAAGTGGTTAAAGGTCCTTGCCTTGCACGCCCGGGATCCCATATGGGCGCCGGTTCTAATCCCGGCAGCCCCGCTTCCCTTCCAGCTCCCTGCCCGTGGCCCGGGAAAGCAGTCGAGGACGGCTCAAAGCTTTGGGACCCTGCACCCGCGTGGGAGACCCTGAAGAGGCTCCTGGCTTCAGATTGGCATAGTATCGGCCCGTTGAGCTCACTTGGGGAGTGAATCATAGGACGGAAGATCTTCCTCTCTGTGTCTCCTCTCTGTATATCCGCCTTTCCAATGAAAAAATAATAAACCCCCCCCCCAAAAAAAAGAAAATATGGTTATTAATATATAGATGTTATAATTTTTCCTGCTATCCTAGTAATGTTCTTTGTTGTTTTATCATTAGTTCAGTTTCTATTCAAGGGTTCAGCATTGCATTTAATTTGCATGTCTTGCTATAATTCTCTGTCACTATGACTTTAAATACTAAAATGTTATTTGGGTGGTGGGGAAGGGAGTATTGGGGAGAGATTGAGATTGAGAGTTGTCAGTCTCTACAACAAGCTGGCTCTACAACAAGCAGGGCGTGGCAGGACTAAGCAAGGAGCCATGAACTAAATCCAGATCTCCCTCCTTGGTGGCAGGGAACCATGGTCTCCTTTGTGAGCGGCAGGATCTCAGTCACTTGAGCTGTCCTAGAATCTGTGTTAGCAGAAGCTCAAGTCAGAAGCTGGAGCTGATCAGGAACTTTACATACCCTGTCATGTAACACAGGCATGTGAACGGACAGATGAGCTTCCAGGGAAATGCCACAGAAGGAAGCTTGTAGCGCTTATTGATGTTAACTTAAAAATGTGATATAAATTTCTTCCTGATGTTACTATTTTCCCTTTTCTAATGAATTAGTCATTTGTAGGTATGGCAATTCTTCTTCCATTTCTCTCTCTCTCTCTCTCTCTTTTTTTTCCCCATTTCTCTAAGATTTGTATATTTGAAAGAATAATAGGGAGAGAAAGTGCTCTTTTGTCCACTGTTTTCCTCCCCAGGGGCTTGCAATGTCTGGATTGGGCCAGGATGAAATCAGGAGCCAGGAGCTTCTTCCAGGTCTCCTATGTGGGAGCCCAAGCACTTGGACCATCTTCTACTGCTTATCCCTAGCCACTAACAGGGAGTCAGATGGGAAATGGAGCATCTGGGACACACATCATCAGCATCTGTATGGGATGCAGGTGTCCATATGGGATGTGGCTTTACCTGCTAAGCTACAACACTAGCCCCACAAATGGTATTTGAAGACTGTCTAAATATCCTTTTTCTAATCAAACTTTCTAATAGATAGCTTGAATGTAGTATTTTATCTCAAATGCTCAGGACCCAGAAGTATTTTGAATTTAAAATTTTTATACATACTGTGACTACACAAGAGGTACACTGGGCATGGGGCCAAATCTAAACATGAAATTCATTTGTTTCAGATATCCTTAAATACACACCCGAAGGTAATTTTATAAATATTTTTAGTGTGCCTGTGTTTTGACTACAACTGATCACATGAGGTTAGACATGGAAAGGTTTGGATTCTGGAGCATTTTGGATTTCACTTTTCAGGTTATGGATGGTTAACCTGTAGTTACTTCATTGTTGTCTTTTGCAGGAATCTAAAGACTCACATATCCAACTACTTGGATATTTTTCCAATGTCAGCAGTAACTTTAAATTTGAACTGTTGGGCAATTATTTCTAGTAGTTTACAGTTCTGAACTACCAGCCCAAAATAACACAAAGTCCAGTAGACTCTGTGTAGTCTATAGCTCACTAATTCAAATTATTGACATTCATATAACCTCAGGAGTCAAGAGCTTCTAAAAATATTTTTTCCTGGGCCCAGTGTGGTAGCCTAGTGGCTAAAGTCCTCGCCTTGCAGATGCTGGGGTCCCATATGGTCACTGGTTCTAATCTCGGCAGCCCTGTTTCCCATCCAGCTCCCTGCTTATGGCTTGGGAAAGCAATGGAGGACGGCGCAAAGCCTTGGGACCTTGCACCTGCATGGGAGACCTAGAAGAAGCTCCTGGCTCCTGGCTTCAGCTTGGCCCAACTCCAGGCATTGCAGCCACATGGGGAATGAATCAGTGGATGGAAGGTCTTCCTCTTTGACTATCCTCCTCCCTGTATATCTGACTTTGCAATAAAAATTTAAAAAAATAAATCTTTAAAAAATATTTTTTCTTTCTGTAGATGTTTACTACAATCTGGGGGCAAGATCTTTCCTCAGTACGTGTTGATGTTTGGGTTGCTTGTGGAATCACAGACACTGGTAGAAGAGAGTGCTGTTCAAGGAATAGAGCGGACTCTGGGATTCAATATAGCACCTTTCATTAACCAGTTTCAGGTAAGTGTCTGGAGGAGGAAGTTCAGCTAGGAGACTGTGACTCATGGCTTATCTTATCTCTCTCACTTTCCTCTGATTTAGTCACACTGTTCAGCTGGATTAGAATAGATTAGATTTAGCTGGAGCAGAGGAGCCTGCAGGTGAAGATCAACCTGAAGGTTAGAGTAACCCAGGGAATCTTGTCGTGAATACTGACTAGAGTTTGCAGATGCTCCTCGCAGTCACTGCACTCTGATGGGGGAGGCCAGCATGGAAGTGAGGACTTAACCTGCTCAACTTCACTGTGGGCTGTTTCTGGCAGTTTCACATTTTGTAAACCATTCACTCACTGACTTAGATTTTATTATCTTCTTTCTTCTAATGTGACTGACAACTGAATCAATGAGATAAAATGCAAGATTGGTTAAAAAAAAAATAATACATTAGAAGAAGTAACCGTTAATTCACCAGATGTCCACAGAATGTCTACTGCATGACTTTTATATTTGGGGACTATGGCTGTGAAGCTAGGAAGATTTACGTTCTTGCAGTGATGAATCTAGCACCTAAATCAGAAGAGATAAACAAGTAAAGACATTAATATGATAGTGCTATGGGCACAAAGTAAGTTAAGGGAATCAGGGTGTGGAAATATTTTTTATTAATTATTTTTTACTTATTTGAAAGTAAGAGTTAGGAGTGTTGGAAGTGATTTTGTATCTGTGGGTTCACTACCCAAATGGCTACAATGGCTGGGGCTGGGCAGGCCAACACCAGGAGCTCCATCTAAGGTCTTCCCTGGCACAGAGTTCCAAGCACTTACACCATTCTGCTGCTTCCCCAGGCTTGATGGCAGGAAGCTAGATCCAGGTGGAGCAGCCAGAACTCAACTTTCTGTGCCACAGTGCCAGTACCAGGACAGACTGTTTTTATACAGGTTATGCCTAAAGGAAAGAACTCACAGATAATTATACCTCAAGAGAATTAGAAAACAAAAACAAAACAAAAACCAAAAACCCAACCTGCAGCAAACCATACACAGTTGAAAGGATTAACAGACATAATGGACCCGAGGCAAGAATGTGATTGGAGCATTCAGAACAGCAAGAAGAAACCGAGGGACAGTTACGAGATATGTAGTCAGAGAAGTGTTAGGGGTCAGGTCTTGTAGGCTTTCTTGGCCATTGTAAGGGCTAGAAACAACGGGAGGGTATGAGGTGGAGGGGTGACACTGTGTGACTTTGGACAGGATCACTACGGTTGCTGTGTCAGGCGGAGGATCATTGTGAGACCAGGTAAAGGGATAGTGTCAGTGCAGTTTTCTGGTGAGAAGACAGTAGTTACAACAGGATAGGGACAATGAAGGAAGTGATATAAAGTGGTTAGATTTGGGATATATTTAATGTAGGTTTTGATAGATTGGATATGAAATATGAGGGGAAGATATCCTGTTCTTTGGGATCAAGGCCCTGTAGGAATAGTTCCCATTTACTTATATGGAGAAAAGAAAAGGAAGTTAGGCAGTGTTTATGTGTACAGGGTCATTAAGCAACTGGGTAAAGAGTTGAGAGGAAGCTTGAAGCTGTACATTTTGTAGTTAGTGGCATACTGGTAGTATTTAAAGCTGTGTGCACTGTTGGGCTGATAACTGAAATCTGGAGAGCTTATAAGGTTATTACCAGCTACAGATGGGTTATCTAGAAGAGATTAGCAAAGATGACAAGTCAGTAGGTTAAGGTGAAAAAAAAAAAAACAAGTGGAGATTGACTGAGATACAGGTAGAGTAGTCATGTGGGTGCAGATGGGAGCTGACATGGGTCTCAATAGCTTAGCTGACTGACACAAGCTGAGACAGAGGCATATTAAGGACTCCTGGAAATGGTACAGGCCTGCTTGATACATTGGAAGCATCTAAGGTCTGTGATCCCTGGCATCCAATTCTAGGTGCTGGAATATGGCCTGAGAAACTGAACTTCCTAAAAGCTCCCAGGCCATTTTAATTTTTGATTATGCCAATCATAGCCAAGGTGGAAAACCTTTATATTCAAAAAAACAACCAACCATTTTCTTAATGAAATCCACCTACTAATTTTCTTGAGTTGGGTTTCTTTTGTCAGCAGTTCAGTGCTTAACATTGAAATCTTGGGAATATTAAACATTTTAATCTGCCATCATCTAGATGAAATGTCTTTAGGTAACGGAAACTATAGCGTATCATTTGATCTGCCTTATAAGCTTTGTTTGGTTCAGTTTTCCTGGTAGCCTGGAATAATGAAAAAAAAAAAAAAAAATCCCTGTATCTTAGGTTGGTAAAATAAAAGGCGGTAACAGACATACCAAGGATTATATGATACTGAGCCAAATAGGAATCAAGCATTTGATGAGCCCTGACCAGAAAAAGAATGTTAAAGGGAAGAATTTATAATTCTAGGTACCTATACGTGTGTTTTTGGACCTCTCCTCATTGCCCTGCATACCTTTAAGCCAGCCAGTGGAACTCTTACGATTAGACTTAATGACTCCGTATTTGAACACTTCCAACAGAGAAGTAAAGGTAAGGATCACCCGAAGTGATTATTGGCATAGATTAACACTTTAGATACATAGTTTTGTCCTTTCTTTTGGAGATTCAAATCAGTTTTTAAAATTAATGTTGTTTACTCAGTTTTATTTGAGAAGAAGAAAGAAAACAGAAAGGCAGCTCCAACCTGCTGGTTTGCATGCTGCAGCCTGCAGTGGTGTGTTTGATCAGGCCAAGGCCAAGACAGGAGCCAAGAATTGAATCCAGGTCTCCCATGGGAATGGTTGGGACTTAACTACTTGGGCCACTACCTGTTGCCCCCTTTCAGTATGTATGAGCAGAAATTGAGAAATGAAGGTGCATGGGGCTCCAACCCAGGCACACCGATATGGTACGCAGGCATCCCGACCTGTGGCTTAACTGTGAAGCCAAATGCCCACATGCATTTTTTTGAACAATAAACAAAAGTAAATTTGAGTAAATATTAATGAGTAAAAACTTAATGTTAAATTAGGTGATTAAATGTATTTTACAGTTTTTATATTTAAGAGAAGAATACTTATCCAAGTTATTCTCTCCTGATGAAATGTTCATAATTTCTCAATTTCATAGGTACACATTTGTAAAACTGGGCAAGTGACTGCTATTCCATTTTGGTATCATATGTACCTTGATGAAGAGATTAAGTTGGATACATCAAGTGAAGCCTCCCACTGGAAACAAGCTGCTGTTGTTTTAGATAAGCCCATCCAGGTTGAAATGGGACAGGAGCTTACACTAAGTGTTCAGCACCACAAAAGCAACGTGAGCATCACAGTAAAGCAATGACGACCAGTTTCATGATGCAGACTGTTTTAACTAGAGCATCGGAGACAAAAATGACCTGAGTTAGTGGGACTGTAATCATATAATGAGTGTATGAAGCTTAATTCCTTGTAACAAGTATTTTTAAAAATGACAATAAAGCATATTTAAAAGATACTGAAGAGCAGTTGCTATAGATTTGATTTCTGGAAGAGGATGCATCATTGTGGTAGTTTCAAAATTAGGAAACTTTTATTTTTGCTCAATTTTACTTAATGCCTTGTCATTGTCATACTTTAAGAAAAACTTTTAATGTTTTAGACATCTTTTCCTTAAATCCAAACTTATAACTGAAGCATTTAAAACATAGGATCACACTGAAGACTGTGGGCCTTGGTGTAGCCTGTGGGGAGCGGGGTGTGGAAGCAGTTCCGGGATTAGGAGGGGCTGTTGTAAGATGGCGGCTGGTCCAGGGCCAGGAGACGGAGTTGGTCTCGCCAGCAGGTAAGCAGGAAGTCATAGGGATAGGCTAATGCCCCCCCCTTCACCCCGTGATTACTGGCCTATCACATAGTGCCAAGTGGACCCATGGGGAGAAGTGATTGGTGGAGAACGATATAAAAGTAGCCGGTAAAAGCTAGGCAGGGATGACAATGAGGATGGATGGACGGTGGAAAAGTTAAGGCGAATGGGGAGGAAAAGCTGCAGAAAGGGATACAGAAGCGGTACAGGAGCAGTAAAAGCAGTACAGAGAGATGGGGACAAGAACGGAGGAATGCAGCAGAAAGTACTGGAAGAAGGGTGGCGGAATTAGGGCTAGAAAAGCGGCAGAGGAAAGCTTAGACCAATGGCGACAGGAGCAGCGGAGATAAAGATTCAAACACAGCCGCTTTTGGCAGTGAGGGGTCTGGTTGTGGCTTTTCCTGGACCCTCAAGAGTGTGCCTTGTCGTTTTAGTGTCCCCGCTGCTGGGCGGCAGCGACAGTACCCAAGCCTACTTCCTATTCAGCTACCCGTGAGGTTCTGAAACAGCTCAACCTTTGTTGACAATGCAAACTTAAATTAAGAATTTAAGTTGCAAGATAAATATAACTTAAAAAGTGAAGGAGTTAGGGCAGAAAATGAGTATTCCAGAGGCATTTTTGGTCTACTTTGGTAAAGAAAAATTAAAAGTTGTTAAGTAAATTTTGTATACTTAGTCATAAACCTTTTGTTTTCAAAGTTTTGCTTATGAGTGTAGACTAAGAAAAATGATTGACAGTTCTGGCAGACTTTTGAAATAGGGAGATTAATAGAGACGGTTATTATCAGACATTGAATATGTTGTGTTCTTTGTAAGCAGGCCACAAAGAAAAACAAGGCATATCCGCTCTCAACTGCTTATTCACGGTACTTCATTATAATTGAATTACTCATCTTTTTTTTTAAAAACATTTTATTGCATATATACATATGGTACACAACATTGATGTTATGGGATACACGTAGTTAGTAAAAAGCTTACTACAGTGAAGTAAGTTAACATACCTGTTACCAATCTCATGGCATGAACAGCTCAAACCTACTCACAACCATGAATCTCAAAATACTCAATTACCTATTGTCCTTATGTAATACATTGAACTCCTAGATTTATTCATCCTCACATATGCCACTGTGTATCCTCTGACCTATACTAACCCCGTTTCCTCCCCAGCGTCACTGTTTTGTTCTTTGTATATATTTATATTTCACAGACAAGGGAGATCATGTTCACAAACTAACATTTTTCTCTCTGATTTGTTTGAATTAGCAGGTCTTCCAGGCTCCTGCGGGCTGGATAACATCCCATTGTATTTATGTACCACTTTCTTTATTCATTTGGTCTATCAAGTGAAAGTTTCCATATGTTAGCAGTTCTAAGTATGGTTGTGCTGAACTTAGGAGATGCACCTTCACTAGGAGGTGGTGAATTCATTTTATTTGGGTACAGGTCCAGAAAAGCGTTTGCTGGATCATATATGCACTCTACTCTTCTTTAGAAACCTCAGTTCTGCTTCTATGGCTGTCTAAATCTGTAGTCTCACCAGTAATGTTCAAGTTATCTGGAACTGTTACCAACATTTGTTGCTGATTTTTAAAAATTTGTCATGCTGATGGGTGTTAGCTAGCTCAATGATTTTGATCAGCATATTTCTGCTAATTAATTAGACATTCTTTTAATACTGGTGTTTTTCCAGTATGGAGTTTTGTGACTTTTTTTAAGTTACTTTTTTAAGAGTTTTTTTTTAAGCGTTTTTAAGAGTTACTTTTTTATTGGAAAGGCAGATATACACAGAGAAAAAGAGGAAGATCTTCATCCTATGGTTCACTCCCTAAGTAGCTGCAACAGCCATAGCTAAGCTGATCTGAAGGCAGGAGCCGCCTTCTGGATCTCCCACGCAGGTGTAGGGTCCCAAGGCTTTTGGCCGTCCTCTGCTGCTTTCCCTGAAGTTCCAGGCTACAGGCAGGGAACTGGAATAGTCGGGATGTAGACTGGTGCCTATTTTGGGATCCGGGGGATACAAGGTCAAGATTTAGCCACTAGGCAGTTGTGCTGGACCCTCTGTAAATCTGTTATCAGATAATATGGTTTATAGGTATTTTTTCCCAGTCTGTAGGCTGCTCTTTCATTTAGTTGGTTGGTTCTGTTGTCATGCAGATCTTTAGTTTGATGTGTGTGTAGGTGATCGGTTCCACGACGCTCCCTGCTTTGCCCTTTTTGAGCGTACCAATGCAGATGTTCCAGTCTCTCGTTATAATGGCCACAGTATTTGCACACAACCTAAGTACATCCTCTCATGTACTTTAAACCATCTGCAGATTACACCTGCAGTCCAAATGCTATGTAATATCTGTTACACTTTAGGAGGTAATGATGAAAGTACATATTCAGTGTATATACAAGTTTTTCTTTAAAATGTTTTTGATCTATGGTGGTTTGGTGAATCCACGGAAGGCAGGCCTACTGTGGTCTCATTTATTTTGCTTTTATTGCCTAAGCTTTAGGAATATGTGTGTGTGTGTATGTAGTAGTTTTACTGTTTCTGGTCTTTGGTACATACAAATCCAATTTTTTCCAGCACTATTTTAATTGAGACTGTCTTTCCCCTAGTATGTCCTCTTCATGCTGTTTTCCAAGATTTTACTATGCATGTTTACTTTTATTTCTAGGCTCTTCATTCTGTTCCACTGCTCCTTGTGTTTTCTATGACACTACCATACTGCTTTTTATTCTACAGCTTTATAATTTTACATCAGTAAAAGTGATTCCTCTGATTTTTCCCTCAGGACTGTTTTGACCATTTGGGGTTTTGTATGTTTCTTTATGAATTCTAGGATCATGTTTTCTTTCTGTGAAGAATGTTATTAGAATTGTGATAAAGATTGCATTGAGTTTACACTGCTTTGGATAATATGGGTGTTATAACAATATTAATTCTTCTAATCCACGAACATATCACCTTTCCATTTATATGTACCTTTAGATTCTCTCATCAGTGTTTTATAGTTTTCAATGTATGCATCTTTTACCTCCTTAGTTAAACTTACTCTTTGTTATCTTAGTTTTAATCCTACCATAAATGGGATTTCCTTTACATTTTTCACTTAGACTGTCATTTATGTATAAAAATGCTACTGATGTTTCTATGTTAATTTTGTATCCTGTAGCTTTACTGAATCCATTCAAGCTTTTTTTTTAAACGCATTTGTTAGCTTTAATTTCAAGAGAAATATTTGAGAATTGTGAACAGATACTGTTAATTACTGTGAACCAGAATTTAGATACATGTCTATATACACACACACATAAAAAGGCATGTTGCTATGAGGGTATGCCATATATGAAGGTTATGTTTGTATAAAGCAAAGGTTATGAAAACATCCATAATGGTACTTTTCATATTTTTAGTCCAAAATGTTGCACATGACTATGGGTTGTGACTACCAACTAAAGAAGCATCATCCTAAATGACTTTCTCCCAAATCAGACTTATTTGGATAAATGAGTAATTCAGATAACTCAACAGACATGTACATTTGTTGATATTTTTGGTAGCTCTGAGGAAAAGCAGTAATTTTTAAAAACATTTTTGCTGTGCTAATTAAGAAATTTTTGTTACAGCATGAAAGGCTTATCTTTTAAAGAATGACAAACATAAAAGGTTGCAGGAAAAAATGATAAATTATTATTTATTGAAAGACATCCATTTGAGAAGTAGAGAAATAATCGTTAGGTAAGCTTATATGGCACATGATGTTGATTATGTTCCACTAATTCATGTTTCTGAATTAGGCTTTCTGTTATTCCAGAGTCTTACATTCATGCAGCATGGTAGGAAACTCTGTTAACAATGTCCATCCTCTTACTAAAGCAATGTAACAACAAGGGCATTTAGCTGAAGTCATTTTCTACCATTTGAGTATGTGATACTCTAGTGTTAGGAAATCAAGTCTAAGTCTAGGAGATTTAGACTATTTGCAATATGTAAAACTCATATGTAAGTCCAGTAGTTGTATCTGGTTTTCACCTATCTTTGTGTTGAAATTTTCCATAATTTATGGCTTGTCCCAAGCACAAAAGTTCTGAGCCTTGGGAGATACCAGGTAATGGAATATGATGGTTCTAACAGAGTTTTTTTTTCATTTTTTGCCTTTTCATACTGCTCAGGATTCCAAAGCTTGATCTGAAGGTTCTTTTTTCTTCTCCATAGCATCATTAAGTATTTCATCACACTGCTTGGCTGCAGTGGGCGTAGTCTGGGGAGTCACAGTGTGTCCAAACCCTTGGTAGTGACCCACAGGTGAAGGTGGCATTGAAGAGGCAATAGACATTGCATCCTGTGATGATGATGATAACAAACTTGTATGCTCATTTTGATCTTGGTCCTCAGGAAAGAATTTTTTCCTAGGATGTCCTCTGACTGTTCGTCCTTTAAAGTAATGTAGAGGTTTCTGTGTTAGCCAGTTATTTTGACAATTACCCATTATAAAAATGAGCTTCCTTAGTTGCCTTTCTAATTCCCACCTCTCCTTACTCCATATCTGAAGAGCCAGCATTATGGTACTATTTACCTAATCCTTTTAAGTTTCTCAAGTATATTTAAATTGTCTTCAAAGAAATATTAATACTACCTAACTGGATGAATTAAATGGCTGGTACTTACCAACATGCCTTACTTGTTCAGAAATATCATCTCTGATATCTGAAACATCCCACATGGCAAGAAAAGAGTCAAAGCATGAGCCCTCTTCCGCTTCTTGGACATAGGGTTTATACGAGAAAGTGTAGTGATGAGCAATAGCAGCCAGGAACATCTCAATACAGATAATAAAGTCCTGGAACAAGAGTAACATCTGCATTAACCATCTTGGGGTTTAAATATGGTTTTCTTCAATGCTCTGTTTCTCAAGTACTTCTCAATGGTTAACACATCAGCAGCTTGTTTTTTTTCCTTTTCAGATTATGATCAAAACAATTTGGCTTTGACCTCTTCAAAAAAAGGTCAAGATATAAAATTCAAACCTATTCTGCACCACTATTGAGTGAGCAATCTACTATTTCATGGACCTGAAATCTAGGAGGAAAAACGCAGAAAGAGATCAGAAGAATCAGGTTTTACTCTTGGTTCTACCAAAATTCTGTACTTATGGCCAACTAGTTCTCTGCTTCCTCAACTGACAGGAGGATACATGCAGCGTATCCCCTTAGGCTGCATGTAAGCAGGCTTCATGGAGGTAACATAAAATGCTTTACAAGTAGTCAAGTTATACTGAGTTACAGCACTACTTACCTGGAGTCCCGTAGCCACAGCTTCTACAGTTTGCCATTCCCATGTATGCTTTTCAGAAATAACGCCAACTTTTACCAACAAAGCAATAACTACTGCTTGCCTATATGTTAGGAAAAGGTAAACGCCAAATCTATATCAAGCATAAAATGAGCAGTTGTTTTAAAAGTATGTCATTTAAAAGTTAACACCCAGTGCAACCCACTATTACCCCTGCTTTTACAATGTATTCTTGAAGAAATGGTACTTATATTTGCTTTACCAACTAATTTCATGTAGTAGATATGTAAATGCTGTTTAGACATGTATGAATTAGTATTTTTTTTTACAAGAGCAGTATTGAGATTAATCTTGTTTTAAAGTGTAGGAGCTACAGACAGAAAGGATCTGGCTCCAAGATAATGAGTCTTACTGAGCAGTTTCCACAAATTGCCCAGGTTAATGTAAACATCACTTAATGAGAGACAAGGCATCATAGTTCTAGCTAGAGTATATTTCAATTTTGCTTCTAATTAGGAACAACCTGAAAAGTTGTTTTCATAGCAATAATGTAGAGTTATACATGACAAATGCTCTTCATCATGTTGATCATTCTTTCCAGGTGGTGAATGTCAAGGATTTTCTTCTCCCATTTTTGTATTGTTTCTAATTTGTTAAATTTATTATATTCACTTTTAGGACCACCACCTCCCAGTGTCCAAGCATTTTCTAAAATAAGGACATTGTATAGTTCTGCTTTCTGTTTTAAAAAAGTGTTTACTGATGAACACTGCCCCATATTATTAAGCACGCTACATCAGTCTTCCAAACTGCATAGTATTGTGTAACACAATGGGACTAAGCTTTAATTTTTGTGATATTGACATATTTAGGTTACAGTGACCCTGTGATTCTTTATGCAGTTCTAATGGGATGAACTGTAAGTTAGGTTGAGACATTGTAGCCCATCTACCGCACTGAGATTTAAGATCCTCCTTACCCCAATCTTTACTGCCTTTTAGAAAATGAGAACATTCATGAGAAAGCAACACTTACCAGAAAGACACGAAAACTACCAGCTTTACACAAAGAAATTTGCCAACAGGTTGGATTGGACTCAGTTCTTCCTTTAGTACTTTATAAAATAGCAGGAGACAGTACATGGCAAACTAGAGGCAAAATTAACATTTAAACTTTATTAAGAATAGCTGACATAACGATAAAAAGTTCTTCAGTAAAAGGAAAAATAAAAACAAAAATCTGTAATTGATTCTAAAGACTGCTTACCTCTAATTTTATAAGTTTATTGCTTAATTTCTTACATAAATAACAGTGTATGCTTATATGTAAGATAACAAATAAGTGCAGTTTCAAAAAATTGCAATCATGAAAAGAATTGGAGAACAGTGTTTCACAAGGGCAGCAACATTAGTTCTACTAAATTTACTTTTTAAAATAAATGCTCCTTGTATCCCAACCCTGAAGATTCCTAGATCCTCACCAAGGACTATCAGTACGAACTCTGAGGACTACATCCCAACCGTCAAGGAGACCACGGGGAATTGGAGTGCCTTTGGAGGCCGAGAACTCTGAGGTCACCCATTTCCATTTGGGTCTCACACATGGGATGGAAGAAGCCCATACCCTGCCTTGCAGGATCCAAGGTCATCGGAACCACAACCAGGAGCACTGAGCGGTCCGCAGAAACAAAACAGTAAACTTCCTTCGGGACTAGGGTGAGGAGCTTTCTCTGCTTCTTGCCTGGTTCTGACTTTGGGTCCCCACCCTCTCTCGTAATGACCATCAGGATTGTTCCAGAAACCCCCCAAAACAAACGAACAAATAAACAAAAAACCCCTAGAATAGATAGAGAACAACAAGGAAAGCTTAGAAACAGGAAACGGGCAGTGAGGATGCACTTATAACTCACTAGGGTTTTGAAGATTTCTCTGCACACCCCTCTGAAAACTGTTCACCTAAACTGTTGACATATGTCTTGTTAGAGTTATAGAGTTAGACTACCTGAAAAACAGCCAGGTTCTGCAAAATCGTGCTTCAACGCTATGAGCTGCTAAATACTAAAATTAAAATACACATGAGACAGCTGAATAGTAATCGATAGCCATTTTAAGGTGTATAGAACCCAATTGTATATAAACTAATAATTGTAACGTCAATGTAGAAGTCATAGGATGTGGTTCAGAACTTGCACTCGTTTTTTTTCTCTCTCTCTCTCTTTTAGCATGCTGGTTACACAATACCACGTCAGCTAATTCCATTACATTATAAATTGTTACTGATGTAATGTTGGGATGATTGGGATGATACTCTGTCGGCTCTACCTTCAGACCAGAGACGGTCTCCCCAAGAAACTGCTGAACAATAAGGTGCTGGACTCTATGCTTTGTAGATGCTTGCAAGGAAAGAATCTCAACTGAATGACCTGTGGTAATGCAACAAGGATCCACCAAGGGGGAGGAGGGGTTTTGGGGACGGAGGGGGGGGAATTCCAGGGCCTGTGAAACTGTGTCGCATGATGCAATGTAATAAAAAAAAATAAATTAAAATAAATAAGTAAGTAAATAAATGCTCAACTCTAAAAATCGGTAGTAATAATCTAATATTCAATAACAATGGAAATTTTCCTAAAAGTTCACCTAGTTCCATTAAAATCATAAAGTGCTAATTTGAAATATTTCAGAATATGAGAGGAAGAAACAATGAAGCTATATTCACAGCAGTTTCATGCAACCATTCTTTAATATATGTTGGCTTCTTTGTTAATGCCAGCAACTAAACATAAAATTCATTGCTTAATTTTTTCCTTCTTAAAGCATCTTACTTTTCTATTGTTTAATAAATATTTGTGAGTGCTTAGAGTTTGAATTGTCAAACACTGAGAAAATGTAGATACAATTTTTAAGGAAAATATTTAAAATAATCCTAAAATAGCAGTACAGAAAATAGCATATTAAAATGTCTACATGATTTGAACACTTCCATATTCTTTTTCACAAACCAGGCTTTTGAATTTGAGAACTGTGGCTTTAAGGTAAATAGGAGTGCACATGAACCAACCCTAAATAGAAAAGTGTTTGCCAGATAGCAATTAAATTTTAAAATCAAAACAATCTGAAACTTTTGCACAGTAAATACTCAAGAATCATCTTAGAGAAATATGTTTATATTTAGTATGTAATATTTATATAATATCTTCATGTTTTGTGGTCTACCAGCCTGAATATATTTATAACCTTGGTCCTATTACCATACAGCTTATAATTATAGGCTGTTGCTAGATGTCTCAGAACAAGTAAGGCATATTTTAAGCAGAAAACAAAATCGAGAAATGAAACCAGATAAACCATATAATTCACCCAGGTTGCATTCTGTTAATGACGCTAATGATCAGTAACCAGTTCTCTCAAGTTGTATGTTTAATTTGCTTTTCAAGAAGATTAAAAACTTTGGCTATGGGATATCTCACTCATTCCTTAGCATTTCTTGTTGCATATTAGAAACCCAAACATTTTCTGCATATATTCAATCTGAGTTGTTACAGGTAAGTGCCTATTAAGTGAGAACTCTGGAGAATTCAGGAATTACTTGCCTTGGAATGAGGATTATATGTAACAACTGCTTAAACCTTTGGCCAATGACAGGACCACAGTATCTTTAACCAGTCCCTGCCACTGGGCGAGGGATTCTTTCTAGACTTCTGCTATTACAAATCAGAGACTTTATTTACAAAGATACTCAAAGTAATGTATTCCCTCTGACCAGTTCTTCAGAATACATGTTTTTAGAGCATTCCAGTTTTGAGAAATTACCTATTTTTTAAACTTGACATTCTCAATTTTCTTTTCATTCAAAATATATGGTATGAGAGAATTGCTTTCTTCAAAATGTGTAAGTTCTGTGAATTATATTTCAAGGTGAAGAAATAGACAATCAAGCCTTACTCCAAGATGAAACTGCTTCAGGGAATTCAGAGCTATTGATACTAACTTAGTATAATCAAGGAAAACAAACATTTACTTACCAATTGTGACATATTGTTTATTATAACCAAATAAGTCCAAGCATTTGAAAAGCTAAAGTTCCCTTCGTCATATATACCAACCAGCTCACAGATTCTAAAAAATGGTAAAAATGAGACAACTTTTTGATTAATGAAATTAAAATGTATTTCAAGATGCAACAACAGCAAAACCTACACTTACAAATTAGCTTATTTGAGTGATCCTCTAATTATTTCAGCCAGAGGCACTACAAAAATGTAAGGAAAAATGTTTTCCTCAGAATGTTGCCATGATTATTTCTCCAACTTGAAGGAAATCCAAAACAAGGCACAGACATTTTAACAGGGGAGACTAGTTACTAAATTCAGAACAATGTTGCCCAGTTTTGTGAAGCTTTACTGCTAGACACAGTACACACCTGCAAGTGAGAGGGTCCCCCCGCCCCGCCCCTGGCTCCGTAGTCTTGGAGATAAATTTTATGAAGACGCAGATTCTCTCAAACATGTTTTATAATCAATATTAAACTCTATACTTATTTAATATCTAACATGCTGAAAAATAAAGCATGCTTTCATTAATAAATTTGTCTTAACTGGAAAAAAACTGCTAGCTCAATGGCAGTGCATTTCTTTCACTCACTTTTTTTCCTGGTATTCTTCTATTAGCATGCAGAATGTTAGTGGGTACTAGTAGATGGAACATGTAAGCTACCTGCTTGACATTATCTGGTGTTCTCAACATTTTGAGGGATTACTTTGTGCCACGTTAATGAATAAACCATTTTACCCTAAGGTGTCTAGCCCTAACAGAATGTTTTACAGAAAAATACATCTTCTTCCTCTAAATTAACTATGTAAAAAAAAAACCCATGTAATTAATGCAGAGTACACACATGAACTCCATTCAACAGGTTCTAAAGCTGTGTGGATATGATTTCTGCATGTGCTTTAGAGAGGATGCAGGACATGCTGATTCTCTGCCATATTTATTTTCACAGAGTAAGTTTTTCATGTAACTGATTTTTCAGATGGACCAGAACTGCAGAACAAACACCTAAATTAATCCTGTGTTGTTACTCAGTTGATCACATATGAATAAAAGCTCGAGGATTTTAAAACAATAAATAACATAAAATGTTTGCTTACAAAGCAACAATGGTGGTGAATGGTCTGACAACTGTATACTGCAACACACCCAGTTTGCACCTAAACAGCAATACTCTGCAAAAGAGAAAGAACTTTAGCAATTCAAGTATTCATTTAAACAGCTTCAGATTTTCTCCAGTCTCCAAATTAAAACCATTTTGACAAATGATATGTTTTAATTCTTTCAATTTATTAATCCTATATGGTAGTGAGGGAAGGATGTGAGTGGCAACAAATGATCTAAACAACACTGATGACATTATCTGACAATTGTATCTTCTCAAAGATCTCCCTTTTGGGGACAGTCTCAATTCCTGTGTAGTACAGCATAAAAGAGAAGCCCAGTGTAATTCTGGAGGACTGAAATTGAGTCACAAAGCAATTGCGTGTATGTGTGTTTGAGAAAGAGGGCATTTCATTTTTTGGAAATTATCATTTATGGGAACTTGTGCTGTTGTGCAGGTTAAGCCTGCAGCTTATATCCTATATGAATGCAGATTCGAGTAGTGGCTGCTTCATTTTCAATCCAACTCCCTGCTGATGTGTCTGGGAAAGCAGAGGAAGCTGGCTTAAGTGCTTGGGCTGCTGTGCTCATGCGGGAGACCCAGAAGAAGTTCCTGGCTCTTGGCTTCCAAACCAAGCCAACTCTTGCTTTTGAGCCCATTTGGTAAATGAAGTAGCAGATGGAAGATTTCTATTTTTCCCTTGCTGTAATTCTCCCTTTGAAATACACTTTTTTAATAAAAAGAAATTATTGTTTGCATTTAAGATTTGGTTTCCTTCTAGTTTTTGAGTATGACAGAGAATATTCTTCCTGGATATTCAGAGAGGTGGAAGCAAAGATCCTACATAAAACATCCTGTTCTTTTCCAGGCTTATTCAACGTAACGGAAAATCTGTAAGGAGTAGCAAACCACACCAAAACAAACAAAAGCCAAGACAATCTTTTTAACATGATTGGAGAGCCATTTAAGAGTCCTCTTAAAATTTAGACCAAGGAGGGGGCGTGACACCTCCCTCCCTCTCTGCCATACAATGGTTCAACTGATTAATCCCCTGCTTGCAAGTACTTGTATCCCATATGGGTGCTAGTTAATGTCCTGGCTGCTCTGCTTCCCATTCAGCTCCCTGCTTGTGGCCTGGGAAAGCAGTCGAGGACGGCCCAAAGTCTTGGGACCCTGCACCTGCATTGGAGACTCAGAAGAAGCTCTTGGCTTTCATTCGGCTCAGCTCAGGCCATTGAGACCACTTGGGGAGTAAATCAGCAAATGGAAGATCTTTCTGTTTCTCCTCCTCTATGTAAATCTCCCTTTCCAATAAAACAAAATGTCGGAAAAAAAGAGAGCAAAATAAAAACTTCATAAAAATAAAATACATCTGAGAAAGTGTGTCAATTACGACAGTAAAGAATTTAAAAGGGACATGCTTTAAGAAGAAAAAAATGATAATTAAAAGATCTGATATGCAAGATATGAGGAATAACTGTTAAACTTGAAGACCTTTAAAAACTACCCAGGACCTGGCTAAAGTCTTCACCTTGAATGTGCCAGGATCCCATATGGATGCCAGTTCTAATTCTGGCAGCACTGTTTCCCATCCAGCTCCTTGCTTGTGGCCTGGGATAGTAGAAAATGGCCCAAGGCTTTGAGGTCCTGCACCCTCGTGGGAGATCTGGAAGAAACTTTGGGCTCCTGGCTTTGGATTGGCTCAGCTCCGGCCGTTGCGGTCACTCTGGAGAGTGAATCATCAGATGGAAGATCTTCCTGTCTGTCCTCCTCTCTGTATATCTGACTTTATAATAAAACTAACAATGAACGAAATGCAATGTAAGGGCACAGTGAAACACCACTCTACACCACCTTGACAGGTAAACAATGAAATCTGCAGAGGATACTGTTCAACAGAAAAATTTTATTTACTTAGTTTTAAATTCTTTTTATTTTCATTTTATTTGAAAAGCAGACTTGAAAAGCAGAGAGAAGAAGGGAGATCTTTCACTGGTTCACTCCCCAAATACCTGCAACTGTAATGGCTGGGCCAGGCAGAAGCTGGGATTGCAGAACTCCAGCCTAGTCCCCCTCACGGTGACAGGAATCAAGGCCCTGAACTTACCTGCTGCCTCTAAAGGGTATATGTTAGTGGGAAGCTAGAGCAGAAAGTACAGCCATGACTTGAACCCTGGTACTCTGACACAGGAGGGAATGTACCACCATCATCCTAAGGGTCACACAAATGCCTGCCACGGATGGTTTTTCATATTCCTGATAAGAGAGTAACTTGATGTGCTGCAGAGAACAATTGGTCACTAACCTGCAAAGTTGAACAAGGCCTACTACATCCACATCAAGATGCATACCCACAACAGTGGTTTTCAAATTCTTATGAATTCAACTTATTTTAAAAATTTGGGTTATAGCCCACTAAGAGTGAGAGAAGAATAATAAAGGTTAGTGCTGTTCCAATTATAGAAGCATAAATGCATCAAGTCACCAGGAGAAGTGTTTCCCTTCCTCCCATGAATGGCTTACACAAAACCAAATGTTCACAAGAGAACTGACTGCACTCAACGCTTATGTTACAGAAATCACAGCATAAACAGGAGAGCTGTTTTTTTCCATGAATCAACCTCAAATGTGTCACAGTATCTGCACAGTAAAAACATTATATTGGCAACAGCCTTGTTAATTATCAGATATTTTACACTGGTTATCACAGGAAAATGAGTAACCTACATTTTATTTATAAAAGGTAGAATGAAAAATATTATTACTAGGACCTCATTCCTCAACTCTGATTTTAGTAAACATTCAGCATCTGCTTGAAGACAAGAAAACTTGGTATCTGTGAATGCACTGCTGACTATCAGTCCCATTTACTCAGAATTCATGTCAGAGGAAAAAGAAAAAAAAAGAGATTAGGAGACAATTGTTTAGCAGCAAACAAAGCAAGTGCACAAGCACAAAATGTGGGCATTTGTGTAATGCCATTTGACAAAGGCATGGGATTTTAGTGACCTCAGACCACTTGTGCTGGTCTGTAGAACATGTTCAGCCTACTGGATAAGATGCCTATGTCTAGCACGGCTCCTGTCACCATGGAGGATACCTGGATGTCCCTGGAGCCTGGCTTCCGCTGGGCACAGTTCTAGCTCTTGTGGGCATTTGGAGGGGGGAGACAGCCTATGGTAAGTCCATCTCTTTGTGTCTCTGCCTCTTTAAAAAAAGAAGCCAAAACAAAGCAGTTTGCTAGTCTGAAGAGCTTACATTAGAGCCTTATCTTAGGTTCTATGGCAATGAAAGAGCCCTTATCAAAGTCAAGTTGCCACTATCATATCCTATCATCTATACTTAACAATGGAAGTCTCTCATCTCACTCAACTCATACCTTTGACCAGTTCCAATTCAGTCAACACAGATACAACAATCTTTGGAAATGGATTTTGGAAACCAGTTCTCTGCAAAGCAACCTACAGTGGCTTCTCATGACTGACTCTCACCCATCAAACTTGCAGGTAAGTTCTCATCCTCTTTTATAGGGCTTCACCTTTGAGCACTGTCTTTGGCCTAAGTCAGCTTAAACACAGTTAAGTCACTGACCCAACATCTCAATATCTGATCAATTACCACATATTCACCTTGAATTATTCAAATCCCTGACTGCTTTAAAGCAAGAATCCTGCTAGTTTAGTAAGCATCCCCTTATTTTTTTTTTTTAAGATTTATATATTTTTATTGGAAAGCCAGATCAGATGTATAGAGCTAAAAAGAGATGGGGGAAAGATCCTCCATCTGCTGTTTCACTCTCATAGTAGCTGCGATGGCTGGAGGTAAGAAGATCTGAAACCAGGAGCCAGGAGCCTCCTCAAGGTCTCACACGCTGGTGTAAGGTCCTAAGGCTTCCAGCCATCTTCTGCTGCTTTCCCAGGTCATAGCAGGGAGCTGGATAGAAAGTGGAGCAGCCAGGACATGAACTGGTGCTCATATGGGATCTTGGTGCCTGCAAGGTGAGGATTGAGCTATTGAGCCATGCATTAGGTCCAATCCCTACTCACGATATTTCTTAGCAGTCTGGCATCCACTGACACTTTCAATTTACACCTTACCTATAAATGCCCATTTATTTGTATTTATTGTATTCAGAGTTCAGCACAATCTATCTTCTCTGTTCACCAACCTACATTAAATTTTCCTTATTACCCTTTCTCATGGCTGCCTATTTTCCTTCACTGCATTTCCTCTATTTGTGTCTTCACTTAATTCCTAATCAAATTATAAATTCCATGAAGTCTACATCTGTTTTGTGTATTAAGAAATAACCATACACTGTCACTAGGTTCTCAACATGTTTTGTTTTCTTTTTATCAAAAAGCCAAATAGCTCCCTGTAACATTCAGTGTTAAGAGACACGGCTATGTCAGGATTTTGTACAAGTAATTCTGTGCCTCGTGACGGCAATGTAGCCATCTCTAAGTTGTACATTTATACTGATTGTCAACAGCTCCACATCATTCCATGAATGCTGGCTTATAACTTCCACCTTAATCCCTGTTTATCTATTCTCAAGTCTCATTGATTCTTTGGATGCATTCTCTTACTGCTTTTCTTTCTAATCCAAATTTCATCCTTTCATTATCCCAAAGATGGATGATTACAACCTCCTATTTCTCCATCTCTGCAATTTTCTTCCCTTTAATGCATCTTTTATAGTATTGCAAATTGATCTTTCTGAAACACCGTTTTCAAATGCCTGCTTGCTGAAAAACAGCCATGGTTCATTTGTAAGTAAGTGCAATCTTAAGTTCAACTTACTTTTCAAAATGAAAATTGTACATGACATATAAACTTTTCATTTAATATCCTACACAAACATATAACATAAACATTAACGTTACTGGAAAAAAACATTATTTGTTGTCCCTATTGATATATGCTGCTTCCCATCTTAGGTTATCTTTCTAAGTCTCCCCCCTCCCCCTTTCTTAATTAGTTACTGGAAAGGGAGAAGGTGGGAGGAGTACGAAGAAGCAGTGTAGGAGTAGACCCACCCATGGGTTTATTTCCCAAATGCCCATAAAGGCTGGGACCAAAAGCAGAGTCAGATACACATTCCAGGTCTCCCACACCAGGAGCAAGAACTAACACTCTTGCTGTCTCCTAGGGACTACATCAGCAGGAACCAGAGTCAGGGGCCAGGGCCAAATACTTTACCCAGTTATTAAGACTTGCAATGTGTGCGTCTTAAGTGCTGGGCCAAACACCCACCTCCACCAACTCTTTTAACCAGCTATGTGATATTGCAAAAAATCAACAGACCCTGAATCCCAATTGCAATAGGATTTAAAAAAATTATTGATAATTTGAGGCCAATATCATGGTGCAGTCAGGTAAGCCTCTGCCTGCAGTGCCAGCATCCCACATGGGCACTGGTTTGAGTCTCAATGGCTCTGCTTCTAATCCAGCTCCCTGCTAATGGCCTGAGAAGGCAGTGGAGGATGACTCAGGTCCTTGCACCCACAGAAGAAGTTCTAGGCTTCTGACTGGATTGGCTCAGGACTGGCCATTTTGGTCATTTGGGGAGTGAGCCAGCGAATGGAAGATTTCCTTCTGTCTCTTCTCTATATGTAACTCTGCCTCTCAATATAAATAAAATAAATATTTAAAAAAGTATTAATAATTTACCCAAAACACAGGCACCCACAGAGAAAGAGATCTTGTATTTGCTGGTTCATTCCCCAATGAGAGTAATAGCTGGGGTGGGCCAAGGTAAGCCAGCAGTCAGGAGCTCCATCTGGGTCTCTCATGCACTTGGCAAGTATTCAAGCACTGAAGACAATACTGATGGCACAGCAGGAAGCAGGAACTGGAAGCAGAACTGGGACCTAATTCCAGGCACTCTGATAGGTCACCCAAGTGGCATCTTAGCCACCACATCATATGGCATCTCACACTGCCATTCCTGAAATATTTTATTTAACTTTTCTGTTTGGGATAATTAACAAAGAATACCAACACACAGGTAGATTATAAAAATGTGTCTTGGGCCCAGCGGCTAAAGTCTTCATCTTGAACGTGTTAAGATTATATGGGCAGCGGCTCTAATCCCAACAGCCCTGCTTCCCATCCAGCTCCCTGCTTGTGGTCTGGGAAAGCAGTTGAGGATGGTTCAAAGTGTTGGGACTCTACACCTATGTGGGAGACCAGTAAAAAGCTCCTGGCTCCTGGCCTTGGATTGGCTCAGCTCTGGCTGTTGCGACCACTTGGGGAGTGCATCAGCAGACTGAAGATCTCCCTCTATATCCTTCCTCTCCCTGTATATCTGACTTTCCAATTAAAAAAAAAAAATCTTAAAAAAAAAGTGTGTCTTGTTTGCCTTTAAACCTGACTATCAAGTATATCAGGGTAGGGCATTCTGTTTTTTTTGTGTTTTGCCTTGTTCGCAGTACTTAACCAAGGGCTCATATTTAACAACTTTGCTTAAATTGAAGTAAAACAGAAAAAAGATTAAAACCAAAAAATACTTACTCTCCCATAGCCCATGGTGGACAGCAACACAGAGGAGGGAAATGCTTCTGCTGATCTTTGGCTTCAAGGATTAACACCAGGTTTGGATAGCGGTTTGTTAAGTAATTGGTAAGGAATTGCATAAAGCTGTAAATGACATAGGCTTCATAGCATTCTCTGCAGGTATCCACATAGATGGCAATGCTGGGGAACTTCAAAGCCACCCACTATGAAAAAGCACAAGTGTTAAAAATAGTTGTGGGCAAGATAAATCAATTGTAATTCCAATTCATGGTCCTCAAGATTAGCTAACTCAAAAATTTTGAGATGTCTTGTGGTATACCAATATCGACCACTCTAAAAGCTACCATTATAATAGCTACCAGAAAATGTGTAAAATAAAATTTAAAATTTACTATAATTTTATGATACAGTTCTATAAGTACAAAATAAATTTTTAAAAGGCACAAACATCTTAGGTATAGCTAAGCAAAGATAAGTAGAGATAAAAAATGAGTATCAAGAGAAGAACTAAATTAATTCTTATATATAATCCAAAACTTTTCTTTGGTCATTGTAAATATTTGTTATAGGTGTTTCCTTTAGAAATCAAAATAGCATTATATGATAATTACATATATAGCCACTGGGGAATTTTTTTCTTTTTTGGTTCAAACAAAAGACTTAATAAATACAAAGGATGGTAATTTACAGTTGGTCCTTCTGTAATTCAACCAACCCTGGGACTCAAAGTCTGGGTAAAAAAGACTGTGCTCAATATCAATGGACTTTTTTTTTTCTTGTCTTATTTCCTAAGCAATACAATATAACCATTATTTACACAGAATTTAGTGCACCAGGTAACTTAAGGATCCTAGGCATGACTTATAAGTCCAGGGGAGAAATATAAGTAGGTTACATGTAAATACCTCACAGGGCACCCAAGTACCTTCAGGTTTTGGTATCCACAGGAGTCCTAGAACTAGTCCTTTTTGGATGCTGAGGCATGAATCTAATTTAAAACACTCTTGAAACAACCAACAGCCACTACACTCATGAGCTTAAAAGATTAAACCAAGAAAATAAAGAGTGTATAAAATTTAAAGCAGTTGTACTTTTCTTTCCTATGATCATACTTTGTCTGTTATCAATATTATCCGCAAGTGAACTTTTCCACTTTTCTACTGTTTAATGAAAAAGACCTACTTGCATTATCTTAAATCTTCCGTAAGCATGGTTAACATCATCCGACAAGTCCTAAGTTAATGAAATAAAATGAAACATACTTACACTATCTAAACTGTATATGGGTACCATCCAAAGAATCCTATTTGGAAAGCAAAGCATAAATTTTAAAAATTTTGTCAAATTTACAAAATAAGCAAACACAACACTAGCAGAATAAAAACACATGATTTACCTTATTATTGGTTTTTGTAATTCAGGTTGTGTGTAATGCACTAAATGCTGCAATATCACCCACAGGGATATAGGTATAGTCAACAGCAGAAAGATTCCAGCAATAAACCAAGCCTTAGTGTGTATTCCAACCTTGAGAAACAAAACAATGCATTAGTATAGATTCTGATAGTAAAGTTAAAAACCTTCATAAAACATTTCTATATCTTATGTTTTCGTTTGATTACAAATAAGGAACACTATTTTCTAAATTATGATTTTATTTCTCATTCAAGCAGTCTGTTTCTGTGGAGGCAGGGGTCATATTTTTCATGAGCATTTTTCAAGGAGCATTTCTAACAGCTTTTCATTTGTCAAGAATATTAGTTCATTTCTCAGTTTGCTGTTTGTCTTTTATAATTCGTTACTGCTTTCACAAATGTACAGCAGTTTTAAAATCTTCTGCAAGTCCCACGTAAAAATCTTTTAATGCTTGTTAAAGGCTAAAACTCGGGGGCCGGCATTCCTGCACAGCAGCTGAGACTGCCCCAGGACACCAGTTTCCCATATGGGCAATGGTTGGTGTCTCACCTACTCTACTAGTGATCTAGCTCCATGTGCTTGGGCCCTGAACCCCACGTGAGTGACCAGGATGAAGCTCTTGGTTTCAGCCTGGCACAGCACTGGATTTCACAGCCATCTGGGGAATAAATCAGCAGATGCAAAACTTTTCTTCCACTGTCTCTCTCTCTTTTAAATATAAAAACAATTACAAAAACAATAATGAACATTTATTGCATGCTATTTGCCTGATGTTTGGCTCTGATATTGACATGCCTTTTGTTCAAAGGCAGAGGACATAGAAAGAGTGGAAAAAGCAGACATTTTTCATCCACTGGCTCACTCCTCCAAACAGCCATAGTGGCAGGGGCTGAAACAGGCTGAAACCAGGAGCCTGTAACTTCATCTGAGTCTCACATGTGGATGGCAAGGGCCCAGGAACTTGAAAACGGAGCAGGCAGGAATCAAACTGGTGCTGTGAAAACAGTGAATAGTATTTCAAGTAGCAGCTCAATTTGCTGTACTATAATGCTGGTCCCTGAACGGATTCTCTCAAGAGTTTTAAAACTTACTATCTGAGGGGGCCCGGCATGATAGCTGAATTGGCTAATTCTTCACCTCCAAGAGCTGGGAGCCCATATGGGTGCCAGTTTGTGTCCTGGGGGCTCCACTTTCCGTCCAGCTTCCTGCTCGTGGCCTGGGAGGGCAGAGGATGACAGCCTAAAACCTTGGGACCCTGCACCCATGTGGGGAGACCTGGAAGAAACTTTTGGCTCCTAGTTTTGTACCAGTTCATCTCAAGCTGTTGTGGCCATTTGGGGAGTGCATCAATGGATTATAGAAATTTTTCTCTCCTTCTCTCTATAAATCAGCCTTCCCCCCCCCCAAAATTAAGAAAATCTTTTTTTTTTAAAGATTTATTTTTATTATTTTTTTATTGGAAAGGCGGATATACAGAGAGGAGAGACAGAGAGGAAGACCTTCCATCCAATGATTCACTCCCCAAGTGAGCGCAACGGCCGATACTATGCCGATCTGAAGCCAGGAGCCTCTTCAGGGTCTCCCACATGAGTGCAGGGTCCCAAAGCTTTGGGCCATCCTCGACTGCTTTCCCGGGCCACAGGCAGGGAGCTGGAAGGGAAGTGGGGCTGTCGGGATAGAACCGGCGCCCATATGGGATCCTGGGTGTGCAAGGTGAGGACCTTAACCATTGCGCCACCGCGCTGGGCCCAAGAAAATCTTTTTTTAAAAAAATTCTAAACAAAATTATTATTTGAAAGGTACGTAGGAGATGGAAAGAGGATTGACAGACAGCTAAAGTTTCAACATCCTGGTTCAATACACAAATGTTCACAACAACTAGTGCTGGGCCAAAGCCAGGAGCCAGGAACATAACACAGCTCTCAACATAAGTCGGCCACATGGGTGGCAGAGACCTGACTTGCAAAATCACCTGTTGCCTCCTGGAGTCAGTATTAGCAGGCAATCAGAATCAGGAGTGAGCCCAGGTGCTCCACTATTAATATTTTCACCTTTAGGCCAAACGCATATCCCACGCAGGAGCTCTTATAATCCTCCTGTTACACTAATACCCAAACAAACTGTGTTTACATACGACTCCTGTTTTATATATAACAATACCAATTCAGGATATTATATATCCTGAAAATAAAAGCTATACCTTTCAAGGTCAGTATTCAATCAATATTTTATTTTATTTTTTTTTTTATTTTTTTTTTTTAAAGATTTATTTTTATTATTTTTTCATTGGAAAGGCGGATATACAGAGAGGAGAGACAGAGAGGAAGGTCTTCCGTCCGATGATTCACTCCCCAAGTGAGCGCAACGGGCCGATACTATGCCGATCCGAAGCCAGGAGCCTCTTCAGGGTCTCCCACGCGGGTGCAGGTTCCCAAAGCTTTGGGCTGTCCTCGACTGCTTTCCCAGGCCACAGGCAGGGAGCTGGAAGGGAAGCGGGGCTGCCGGGATTAGAACCGGCGCCCATATGGGATCCCGGGCGTGCAAGGCGAGGACCTTTAACCACTTGCGCCACCGCGCCGGGCCCAATATTTTATTTTTTACAAGCTGAATTTCTAAAAATATACTCATTCTAAAGCAGCACTGTCCAACTTTATGCAAAACTGTATCTGAATCTTCTCTTTTTGGGGGAGTCCTAGAGAAGGAATTTATTATTATTATTACTGGTTTTCAGAGAAAGAGTGTATCCAAGTGCTAACAATGCTTCCCTATTCACTGTTAGCTCTCAGAGGCTTGTGACAGCTCCTGACAGGGGCCAAACTTAGGAGCCCTGAACTCATACAGATGTTCTAGTCAGGTGGCAACCACGTACTTCTTAGAGCCAACAGTACTGCTTCCTGGGTCTGCACGGGCACAACGCTGGAGTCCTGTGCCAGAGGCAGGTTTTAAACCCAAGCACTTCTCACATGGTGGCATCTGATCACCTATTCACAAGCCTGTCTTGAAGAATCTGAGTCTTTTTGTTTTGTTTTTTTAAAGGGTAGCAGTATTTGTGTTTGGAAACTGAGTGGTTTGAGCAGCTAACAAAATAGTGGTAGAGCCAGCAACTTCACATTTCACTGGTTTAACAAGGTATTTTTGCTCAATATGGAGCTAGATATGAAAGAGGTAGGAAATTTAAAAAAGAAGAACAAAGTTAATTTTATATCAATAAATTTCCACATTGAAATGTACAGGAGCCTGAAAATGAACACTCATTTTTCCAGGGGTTCTACTTTGCTCACTTTCATTTAAAAGTGGGTGTCAATTTCAATTACCTAAGAAAATAGTAGCAGCAGAAACACAGGGCAGTTTCTCTTTTATAAGGTTACTATTATGAGAGTCCTGCCAAGTAATTTTAATGTCTGTTTTTTTTTAATGATTGCTCTAGTGCCCAAAAGTAGGACTTGGTTGTAGACATAAGAGAAACTTTATGTGTTTGTGACTAATGAAGGCCAAACATATAATTACAGTGTGCAGTGAGGAAGAAAGTGCTTTCTCAAACAATCATAAAACAAGCGACTCTGGATAACTCAGTCATTTCTGCATAGTCACGTCAAAATAAGAAAAACTGTACCCCAGGGAGCTAGTAACATTTTCACACTGCAAATCAGTTTCAGAAAAACATCAGCCCATACTAAACATTGCTTTTATAGCCATTTTGACTTTTGAAATATGCAAAAAGCTAGGTGTGTAAGAAATTTAAACTACTTTAAATGTGTTCAATGTAAGCAATGTTACATCAGAAAAAGTCACTATCACGTGTCTGTGGAAATTATTTCATTTCTCTCTAGGTAATTAATTCAGCTTGAAACACACTTCAATAAAGAAACTATCAACCTAAGTCTTAAACTTATCAGACATGCCATAGCTTCTTGTTGTCATTTTGTTTTGTTTTGAGCTCATAAAAGGAGAAGGATTAGATGCAAAGTTTTTTTCTACGATAACCTGAGGAAAGAAGGCACAGATAAAGCCGTGCAAGAGAAAGCAATGTCTAGGAGCCAAGTTAACTCTTCTCCAGCCTGTGCTTCAAAGGAGCACAGAACAGGAAAGGGTGATTTTGGGTTCCAGTCTGCAGAGCGGAAGAGAGCAAAATGGACAGATGCTGGTGCTCAGGCAAACAGACTACAGAGAAACACTGAGCCTGCCTGAGGTCCATCAGACATGCTCGGCCACGTGAGAGGGTGAGAGAAATAGTTCCAGCAGTGCAGACGGGCGATCATCCCTTCATTCCAAGGAAAGCCTGTACTGGGCCAAGGCATGACAGCAATGGCAGTTCATGAACCTCCCATTTTCTGTAGCCTCTTTCCCAGGGGCTTCTCATTGTGAACACTGACTCTAGTCTTTAAAATACAGGCTATGTTTCATACAAGATGTCTCTCAGTGTAAGTCAAAATGCATCAGATGACCAAGTAGATAAACATGTAATTTTATCCGGGCATGGATTAACGTTCCGGCCTCTCCACTTGCGTTCCAGTTGCCTGCTAATGGCCTGAGAAGAGCCTGGAAGATGACCCAAATGTTTTGGTCCAAGCTACACCCACGTGCGAGACCCAGTTAAAGCTACTGGGCTGGCTGTTTTGCCATCTTGGGAATGAGCCAGTGAATAATGTTTTTCCATTCTAACTCTGTTTTTCAAAGAAATATCGTGTGTGTCTATATACATGTACATATATATAAACATACCTTTTTTTTTCTAAAAAGATGTGCTAATTAGGGCCTACTATTTGCTGGACACAGTGTTGAGACTTTTAAACACATCAGCTCATAACAAACAGAACAAAGATAAAGCATATGAAGTCCTTCGCACATGTCACTACAGTCACCTATCTCTGCCTTAGGGTTTTAAAGAGGATTAAACGCAGACTATAACTAAAATCTGAGGGCATGCTGTAGTCAGTGTCTGTGCCCTTAAAAACAAAAGTGAGCAAATCCTTCCTTACTCACACTACCCTCTTTCTCGGGGGCATTAATTTCTCAGTTATCTGCAGAATCAAAATCCTCAGGGACAGCGAGATGGCTTCACTGGCCAAACTCATCCATAAGCGCCAGCATCCCATATGAGTACCAGTTCTAATCCTGGCAGCCCCACTTCCCTTCCAGCTCCCTGCCTGTGGCCTGGAAAAGCAGTCGAGGACAGCCCAAAGCCTAGGGACCCTGCACCTGCGTGGGAGACCAGGAACCTCCTGGCTCCTGGCTTTGGATAGGCTCAGCTCTGGCTGTTGTGGCCATTTCGAGTGTGAGCCAGTGGATGAGAGATCTCTGTCTCTCTCCTGTCTGTAAACTTCCTTTCCAATAAAAATAAATCAATCTTGTTTAAAAAAATTGTTGAGACAAAAAATGAATAACAAACTTAAATTCCTACCCTGATTCCACTTTTTCATCTCACATGGACTCTTCTATCTTGTGGAAACCAAGGGACATTGTAGTAGCACTGGTACTGGTCACCACTTCCTTTCTGAAACACCTTTTTGGCACTCTACTCTCCCGCTGCATGCTGCCTCCTGGAGCTCCTTCTGCTCTGCCTGACTGCACTATATTAACGCTAGGCTGTTGGCCCTTTCAGTTTCTTCTTTTAATCTCATCCATCTTACTGGCTTTACCACCACCGACATTCTGATGATTCTGCCATGGCCATAACTGTATACCCAAATTTTAAAGATTTATTTATTTTTATTGGAAAGGAAGATATATAGAGAGGAAGATCTTCCGTCTGATGATTCACTCCCCAAATGACCACAATGGCCAGTGCTGCTCTGATATGAAGCCAGGAGCCAGGAGCTTCTTCCAGGTCTCCCACATGAGTGCAGGGTCCCAAGGCTTTGGGCCATCCTCGACTGCTTTCCCAGGCCACAAGTAGGGAGCTGGATGGGAAGTGGAGCTACCAGGATTAGAACTGGTGCCCATATGGGATCCCGGTGCGTTCAAGGCGAGGACTTTAGCTGCTAGGCCATGCTGCCGGGCCCAACCCAAAATTCTTTTGCTGAGATCCTAACCCACACTGTGACTGTGTTTGGCGATGGGGCTGTTAGCAGGGAATGAAGGTTAAATGAAACCCTAAAACAGGAGCCCAATCTGACAGGGCTGGTGCTGTTCTAAGACAAAGAGGCACCAGAGGGTCCTCTCTACCGGGAGAGCACACAGCAGAAATGTGACCATTGCAAACCGAAGGAGATGGCCACCTCCAGGCGTGACTCCTACTGGCACCTCTCTTCTGGATTCCAAAACATTCTTCAGAACTTGGAGGGAAAAAATTCTGTTTTAAGTTGCTCAATGTATAGTATTTTATGGCAGTGAGAAACTCCCGCATTTGTATCTGCAGTTCCATCCCGAGTCCGAGATGTGCCTATCTGACAAGCCAATCTGACGGTTCTCGTGACACTGAAGGTGTATACACAATCAAATTGCTCTCAAGCCTTTTACTTTCCATCTCGGTCCCTGGCACCAGTTATTCAAATCAAAAATCTCTGATTCAACTTTGACTTCTCCATTTAATTGTTGACCGTCCCATGCAATCCAACCCACTTGTAAGTCCTGTTGGTTCAGTTTCCATCTTTACTTCCGAGATCCTGAGCCCGGCTGTAAATCACCACAGCCCACTACTTCTCAATCACCACACAGAACTTTCCAATCTCCCTTCACCTCTACTCCTTCTTCCATAGTGAGTTCTTGAAATTGTGCAATAAGACTGTCCTGTCTGTGTTTCCACGCCCCCCCCGGTTTTAAGAGTACTAAAATATTTTTGTCATTTGGCTTTGTTCTCTCTGCCTCCACCATTGCATTCCATGAAGGCAGGTACCATGTTGGTGTCTCTCAGGAAACACAACGGCCTAATTCCTCACTGGGTCTGAGTCACTGGGACTTAGCAGGAGAGGAAGAGAAAACTAAATAAAGCTTCTCTCATGGTAGACAATGTAAAAGTTCTTCAAAAATAAAGCAGAGAACTTGGGGAAGGGAAGCCTGGCATTTTCACTGGGCTTGTCCAGTGACATCTGACTTGAAGGGCATGGAGGGATGAGAACAGTTTATAGGGGAGGGCAAGGTTGTGAGGAAGAAGCAGGCAAAGCCACAGTGGGGAAAACCCAGGACTTGAGCACAAGGGGAGCTTAGGGGGAGTGGTCTAGCACATGTCTGGCCTTGACAGCCACAATTAGGAACACTGGCTTTTCTTCTGGGACTAGTCAGCACGGAGAAAGACACATAGAACGTGACTTGTCTCTACCTCGATACTCCAGTTGGTATGATGCAAAGACTCCAGGCAACACATATTGAGAATTTGGTGCAGGGTTACATTGGTGGAGAACGCAGATTGAAAAAATTGTCCCTAAAAATCAGCGACTGGGGAAGTCTTAATCTAGGATATTTCTACACCCCATTAACCTGACAAGTAGTCCGTATGCCATCCTCCAAGGAAATACTTCAAAGCAAGAAACCTTTACCCACTTTTAAAAATGTTTATACCTGAATTTTAGTAAAGTATGGCAGAAAGCCCTAAATATCTAAGAAATGAGAAATACTGAATGTAACAGAATAATTATGAACAATGCAGAATGGGAATTCAATAACAACAAAATGAAAATGCAGAGCCCAAGTGTGTATTAAATATATTTTGTTTAAACACGTAAAACTAATCTCCACAATACAAAAGCAACTGAAATAACCAATTTTTCCACAGCTCTTGTAAAATGAGCGTTTCTCAGTAAATATACTTTATTCATTCAAATCGAAAGTCCACTAAACAATTTTTTAAAAGATTGTGTCTTAGTTAAACATTTACTTTGGGGTCTTGTGGCTTGTACAACTTTACTGATGTCACAATAACAATGTGACATCAAAAATATACCAGGAACTTCTTGCAAAACCTTTGCTAGTTAAGAGGTAACAGCTCCAGTAGTAACAAGGATGATTCAACTAGAATCCCTTAATTCAGAAAACTAATTAAAAGCTACTAACATTCTATACATGGTTCTCAAAATAGTCTATTTGATTTATGTAAATCTAATATCTGAATAAATCAGATTTCAGGAATAGGCTGACTGTGCACAACACAGATGGATATTTGCAAAACTAGTGTTCCTCGCAGCTTTGCTAACGCATTCTGTTTTCTCATCCTTGCCCCACCTCCACCTGTAGAATGCCACGAATAACCGTAAGGGACAACAAAAACCAGACACGTTTACAACCCGAGACTGGGCTCAGACGCGCGCACGAGACGGATATCAAGGTACCGCGCCCGGGTGTTTAGGGCAGCAGTCGGGGATAAGTGTCGCCTCCTTGGATTGAGACAGGGGAGAGGCGGACGGCGCCGGGCCCCTCTTACCTCCAGCTTCTGTAATTCCCATACGCACAGGGGCACCGCGACCACTATGGACACCAGGTAGATGACCACCGCAAGAGGTCGGATCCACTGCCTCCAGTTCCTCCAGGTGCAGGTGCAAGGCATGTTGTCGCACCAATCGGCTCCGAGGAGCCAGCGGAAAGAGCTCGCGGGAAGCTGTCACCGGGAGAGCCCTGTTCTCCGGCTGTTTTCTCCACTCGCATACTACGGAGAACCCAGCGTGGGTCGGGAGACTTCAGCAACAGCTCCAGCCGCCGCCTCGGCCGGCGCTGCGCTTTCTGTTGCTGCGACTGGGGCCGCTCAGGGTGCAAGCAGGGCGCAGAGCGGGCAGCATGCTTTCTCCCCGAACCCGCATCGACCCGGCTCGAGCGCGGTGGACTCCCGCTGCCCTCACCTGGGGATGCCCCTGAGCTCCGCCTGCACCATGGCCTGAGAGAGGGCGGCACGACCAGGACCGTCCTTTGGGGACCCTGAGCGCTAGCGTTTTTCTAGGGGAGGCGTCTCTGGGCCCGGTTCTGTTGGTAGGAGAGGCCCCAGGTTTTCTATCACTCTCTCGAACCGGGCATCCTCTGCGGCGGAACACCAGGCCAAACCGGGAGCTTCAGCGCTCTTCCGCTTCCGCCCTTGCTGTTTGAGGCAGGTGATTCGTCGTCAGTGTCCAGCGGAGACCGCCCCATCCGGCCCGTTTTCCACACTCTGATTGGTCATGTGAGCGGGGGCGTGGCCCAAGGCTTGCGTACTGCGGAGAGAAGGCGGCAAGAGGAGTTGAACGCAGTTGCTGTGTGTGAACCGTCCTCTGGGGCTTCTCGAAGCCGCAGCTTGGGACACCTGAGAAACGCTAGTTATTGTTCTTCTAATGGACTTATTCCAGCTCAAAGAAAGCCTGGGTAAGGGACAGTTATTTTAGAGTTCACCTGGGAGTAGATACGAAAGGCAAGTGGAATGACTGAGAGTGGAAAGCATCTGCCTACTTGGCTATCAGCGGTGAAAATCCAGGGATACGGCATTTCTGGATCCTGGAGAAGGTTCATTCTAAAGATAGCTTAATTTTAGAAGCCCGACAAATACGGAATGTCCTTTCCACATTTAGAACTTGTGTTAAAAACTTGTACTCGTCAAAGTTTCAAAAGGCTGGCATGACAATTGAAAGGAATTTTGTGTACTCATAGCTTTTTTTTTAAGATGGGGATTTTTTTTTTTCTTTTAAGTTAGACAGTCAGATATACAGAGAGAAGGAGAGACAGAGAAAAAGATCTTCCATCTGCTCATTGCCCAAGTGGCCGCAAGGGCCGGTGCTGTGGCAGGAACTTCCTCCAGGTCTCCCTCATGGGTGCAGGGTCCTAAGGCTTTGAGCTGTCCTCAACTGCTTTCCCAGGCCACAAGCAGGGAGCTGGATGGGCAATGGAGCAGCTGGTATATGAACCGGTGTCCATATAGTATCCTGGCGCTGTAAGGTGAGGGTTTTAGCCACTTGGTTATAGCACCAGGCTGGTACTCACAGGTTTTAACTTTTTAGTTTTATAGAGCAAACAGACAGCAAGTGGAATCTTCAAACTTCTGAAAGGCAACAGACTAAGCAACGGCTTCTCCATTAGCTGTAAGACTGTCCTGGAGCTCGGTACTGTTCTGATTTCTTCACCTGTCTGCTCTCAGTTGTTCTGCACACAAGTCCTAAGAGGAAGGATGTTTTCCTTTCCACAGAGTGAGAAGGCAGTTTCCCGTGGTTGAGTGATTTGCCCTAACTCCCTGAGCTGAGATTCTAATCTTGGTCTTTCCAGACTTCAAAGGGCTTGGATGTAACCATTTGACATGTCCAACCCCTCCAAAGCAGGACTTTTTGCCTTTTGGTGGTGAGCACAAGAAGGCCTGTAATACTGAGTGCCCCTTGTCTGTGGTTCTGACATCAATACAGTATTATGATTATCTTCCCCCGTGTCTTCTGTGTGAACCAAATTCTGGAGCTGATTTCTGCAGCTCTGTTCCAAGTCATTCACATCTCTGTTTTATAACTTGGATTCTTTGAATATGGAGTGCTCTCTTAAACAGAAAACAGGCCTTTTGTTTGTTCTTCATAAGCTAACTTATAAAATTGAAATAGCTGTTCTAAAAAATAAGTCCTGATTATTAAACCAATAAGTCCTACCTTTCTAAATTTCAGAAAATAGAACAAAGAAGAAAATCTTCCCTCTACAAGCTATTATATGTACAGCTTACTTGGTGCGCAGTGAACGCTTCCTTGGGTAGGTTGTTTCTGTGCTTGTGCAGCTTTGCAGTTGCCTGTAATAAACTCCCCATCGTTCTCAAGGGCAAGCCAACCTTTTTCACCAACTTTGTGAAACCTTCCTTGATCCTCTATCCTTGTGTCTTTACATCATTCGTGTTTACTCATCTTTCTTAGATTGTGGGTTTCTCAGAGCAAGCTTAAGATCTAGGACCATTAGGAAAATGTGAGAGAAGACACCACAGCTGACTATTGTGTGCTAGTGGTCTTAACACCGATTTGTGACTGGTTTTATCTGTAGTTAAGATTCTACTGATCAGCAAAGAAATGAGAAATACATGAAGTGGGGTTTTCTTTTAAGTCAATTTATGTGCTGTTGAGAATTGCATTGTTTTTTGAAGCCATCCATCCTTTATAAAATAGGACAGTAATAGTAGATGGTGGTTATATTTTTTACTTTTGAGAATAAAATGCTGGCAACATTGTTTGCTCACATTTGCTTTAGAAATTTTTCTTGGCCCGTGAAATTCTTGTTGTCAGTAATGTCTGTTGGTGCCAGGAGTCATGGTGTTGCTGTGCTCCTAATCGAAGTCTGAGGGCAAGTTTGTGATTGCTGGTATCAGAAAATAAGAACTGATTGCGACTAATAGATAGTACCAGGGTCAAAAGCAAGGTAGTTACTAACCTTGGTGAACATTACATTAACTGAAATTTCTGTTTATCTGTCACTGTGTCATTTGGAAATGGGCAGATAAAATTTTACCATCTTTAAAGAGTGTGTTTCTACTCGTCTGACCTGAAAGGTAAATGAAATTGACTTTGAACCATCTGGGAGGTGGCCGTTTATAACTCATTGGCTTGTGTCTCCATCTGTCTCACCTGTGTGTGTGTCCATGGTGATTTTAAACCCTGGCTGCGGTTTCCTGAATAATCAAAAGATATTCTGTGTTTCCTCTCTTTTAATCTGTGTGGGCTTGTGACTGATTGACCAGTAGAATATGATGAAAGTGGCTGTAGTCATCATATGTGACTTCTGAGGTTAGGTCATAAAAGGCCAGACAGCTGCACCTGACTACTGAAGCACTTTGGAAATTGTCTGCCATCATGTAAGAAGTCCTCCTACCTGAGTTCTGAATGCTGTAAGAATGCCTGAGATACATAGGAAGCCCCTCGAAGATATCCTGGTTTCTAGTCACAGCTCAGACCAGCCCTCAAGTCAACTCAGCCCAGGTGCCAAGAGTGTGAGTGGAGGACATTCCAGCTCCCGAACATTGTATGCCCTCCCCAGCCTTTGAGTTGTTCAGCTGAGACTCCAGTCATAGCCACAAAAGCCATCCCTCCTCTTCCTTATTCTCTATCTCAAGCTGCAGGGCCTGTGAGCATAATAATGTGGTTGTTTTACTTCATTGAATTAAGGTGTGGTTACTTAGCACTGTGAAGAGATAAGTTGCACCGCCTGCTCTGTAAGAAGTTTCTCTCTGATGGTGATTTTTGCTTGTGTGTGTTTATAACTGACCTTTTAGCTAGGGAAGGTGCCTTGGTTTTTTTTTTTTCTTTAGGATTCATTTTATTTTTATTGGAAAGGTGGATAGACAGAGAGGAGGAGGGACAGAGAGGAAGATCTTCCCGTCCGATGATTCACTCCCCAAGTGAGCGCAACGGCCAATGCTATGCTGATCCGAAGCCAGGATCCAGGAACTTCTTCTGGGTATTCCACATGGGTGCAGGGTCCCAAAGCTTTGGGCCGTCCTCAACTGCTTTCCCAGGCCACAGGCAGGGAGCTGGATGGGAAGTGGAGCTGCCGGGATTAGAACTGGCGCCCATATGGGATCCTGGCTCATTCAAGGCGAGGACTTTAGCTACTAGGCCACGCTGCCGGGCCCGCCTTGGGTTTTTTAAAGAAGACTGTTGGCTCCAGAGTTTGAGACTGTGTTATCACTCAATGGGTTAAATGAATTTTAGATGGAGAAGTTGCAAGAGTGCAGGTCAAAGAGGTGAGCTGGATTTTATAATATACTTAATTTTGTAATGTTTTGGGTTTTCTCCCCTCCTAAGTGGGAGCGTGATCTACCGTACACCAAGAAGGTAAGAAATAAAATACAAGTGGTACAAGATGTATGTCAGACTTATTTTAAAAAAGCTTTATTTTATGCACGTGAAAGGTGGATTTAGAGAGTGTGTGTCTGCTGGTTCACTCCCCAAATGGCTGCAACCAAAGTCAGGAGTCAGGAGCCAGTTCACTCCAGTCTCCCAAAAAAGTGTGGGGGCCTGAGGATGAACACCACAATGCCAGTCCATGTAGGCTAACTTGCTACTTGTAAACCTTAATGTTAGTGTTAAATATCTTTACCCACTTCTTAAGTTTCAATGTTATCTACTGCAATTTTTATATTTCCTTTTATGCTTCATTAAAAATTCCACCCGTGTCTACTTCCTGTGCCTGCCACATGACGATCTGTAGAACATATTCAAAGTGACCCATTGACTTGGCGAATTTTTTGAGTGTGTCATATCATTTTGTTTAGAGTGTCTAATGCTGATTCAGGCCTGGCGTGCCCATTTGTGGCCTGTAGTGGGTTAGTTATGGTCTGCAAACTGCTATCATGTGGCCTATGAGCAAAGAATGACTTTTACATTCTTTATTGTGAGACTATGCAGGTCACATACCATTTTCACTGTTAAGAGTTTGTAATCCAGTAGGCTTTAGTGAATGTCCATCATTGTGTTACATCACTACCATCCTGGAGCTGTCTCATCATCCCAAATGGAAACTTGGCGTTCATTCAACAGTAACTCCCCATTACTCCTAATCCCTGTGGGTGATAACCATTGTTGTACTTTCTGTCCCTTTGAATTTGATGTAGTCTAGTTAGTATGTACAATCATACAGTATTTTGTCTTTTTTGTTTGGCTTATTTCAGTGAGATTTTTTCAAGATTCACTGATATTATACAATAGATTTTCATTCCTTTGTAAGATTAATGTTCTCTAGTGTGTGTGTCACATGTGTATCCATCCATTCACACACTGATAGGCATTTGAGTTGCTTCCACCTTTTGTCTGTCATGAATAATACTGCTGTGGGCATTGGCTCAATTTTCTACATTCAGTTTGGTTTTTACATTTTTAAAAAGTCGTTAAAAGATTTTAAAATATTTACCGTTTGGACTTGTTTGCAAACAGGTATGTTTGCCAACCCTTAATTCAAAGTAAGTTTTAAAATGACTATATAATGGCCTGTTGTGAAGTCTGATTGAGTTTTTCCCATAAAGTGTGTTCATTTCTTCACTGAGAGATTTAAATATTAATAGAATTTCTCACACGAAATAGTTGGAGTGCTATAGTTGTTTAATC